TTGTACTAGTAAATGGATCAATAATTGGTAACCACGAATCAGTACTTATGACTGGAAATTGTGCTCGTAATAATACTCGACTTATTTGTCTATCTTTAAATGAAATATAGAATTGTTCTAATGGAATTTTAACAATTCCAATTATTATATCAGCTGGACCATTAATCTTTTTATCCCATAATTCAATTACGATAAAATTATGATGCATTTTTTCTAAAGTTGATTTTGTGAGTAATAATGGAATTTTCTGCATACAAAAGAAGAAAACATAAACATAAATTTCTTGTAAATAAACGATATCAAACCTGTTCAAAATTAAATCTTGGCGATGAACTTCCCCAACAAACAACTGACGTTATTGGTTCTTCATTCCAAAATGCTCGACAAACAAAATATGGATTTCGTGGTTGATTATCTAAAGAAATAAATAAATAAATCTTTCTCAATGTAAACTTCTTTTCCTATTACTTTGTATTTGTAAAATATTTCGTGCTTCAATTACTGAAAGATAAATTTGTACAACAAATCCATCTTCTAATTCTGTTGTTGTATTATTTGCCATGAATCCTTCGCTTGTAAAAGCTTTGGGCAGTTGTAAATTATTATTTGGATTAATTGTAATTTGTTTGGATTTTTTTTTACTTTTCTTTATTTTTCCAGTTCGTTGTTTTTTAGGTTTCATTTGTTCAATAAGTCGAATACGATCAAGTTCAAGTTTAAAATTAGTTACATCAGAATCAAGTTCAAGCATAACATGTAAATTTCCTATAGAAAATTTCTTTGCAATTTTATTTGGAAGTTTTTGTTGATTCATTTGTGTACGATCAATAACATTTAAATCGTGTTCTAAATGTAAACTATCAGCTTTTAATATATTTCGAAGTGGTAAAACAGCAAAACCAATTTGTTCTGGACTTGTTGTACCTGACATACGACTATAGATTTTAAAGATTAGTAATGAACGCCACCAATTTTTTAAAATTGTTTCAGTAAATAAACATGGATATGTTGATAAATGTGAAAATATAATATCATTATTGGATTCAAAACGTTTGGAAGCGATTTTCATTACTTGTGTTGCTTCATTTTTTTGACCATCACGGCTATTTGCAATAACAGGGAATTGATATTCAATGAAATAAGTCCTTGTATAAAGAAAATGTATTAAAAATTGTTTTTGTTTTATTAGAGAAAATTTTGTCTTACATTGCTCGTTTACTTTTATTGGTTCGTCCAAATGATGAATGTGATGGAGAGTCTCGATCATTATTAAGAACATTTAAACGTAATTGATCAATACGAACACGAGCTGTACGAACATGATTTAATAGTTGGACACGTTCGATACAAAGATGATTATCATCATCATGACTTTCTAAAAATGAGAAAAGAATAGGATTAAAAAAAAGATTCATTTTTTTCTCCCTTCGTCTCTTACCATTTCCACTATCATCAAGATCAGAACTAGGCATATCAAATGAAACACGTGATGCCGTATCACTATCAGTACTTCGTGCTGAACGAGAACGATTTGATAATCGACCAGCACGTGTTATACTTGGACTACGTGAACGTCCTGATGGTGGTTTTCCGTGTGGTGGACGTTTATTTGTTATAATATTTGAAATATTATTATTACTATTGTTTACTCCATCACCACCATAGAGTAGATCATCTAATAAACTTTGTTCATATTCTAATCCTTCGAGATCAGTTAAAATTGAATCATTTGAATTATTAAGATCTCCAGTTAATTTTAAAGATGTATTTATACCAAGCATATCACAAACATTTTCATTATCAAGTAATGGATCAATATCAATTGATTTTGTTTTATATTGAGTACTAAGAATTTCCGAATTATTATTATTATTCGATAAAATATAATTAATAGGATCATTTTCTTTTTCATTTATTGTCGTTTTTTGTGCTGATGATTTTATCATATCTTCACGAAGACGATTAGCCCGTTCAATTAATGCTTCAACTACTTTACCAGTTGGTTGTTCTTTATATGCTTGTACACCTAAATTGTAGAAAAAAATATAATTAAGAAATTACTTTCAATCAATTTATTAACCTGGTTGGACATAATTTGAATCTGTTGCATAGGGTTTAAATGGTACAGTTGTATCAAAACGTTGTTGTTTTATGGTATTATCATTTGAATATTCTGCATTATAAGCTCGATCAAGTTTATATGTTCGTGAACCACCTTCCAATTGATCAGCCTAGAAATTAATTATTTATTCGATTTTACTCTAAAATTCAAATCTACTTGATTATAATCATTAGCACCAAATGAACTACGTCGTGATGGTGGATTACTTGTATCTGATATAATACTCATTGCTGTCAGATTTTCGTTACTATCGTGAGCTAAAATAGAATTATTTATATGTATTAAATAAACAAAAAGACGGCTTACTTCCAGGTAAAAATATACGAAGTGAAACAAAAACTTCACCTAATTTATCACCTTTATTCGTAAATATAGATTGATAACCTTTGATTGGATTGTTAATTGAAAGTGTAGATAAATTTTGTACTTTAGCAGTACCTATAAGACGATTATTATCCGAATCAAACACTTTCAGTACAAGCTCAGCAGCATCTAGATAAAAAACAAATATTTTTAAACAATAATTATTTCATAAAATACCTGTTAAATATTTCGTAAATTGTTTAAGTTCACTTCGAATATAATATTTAGCTGTTGTACTCGGTTGATGGGATGATGAGGATGCAATACCAGATACTTGAGGTCTGTAAAAAGAAAGAACACAAAAAAAAATTAATTTGTCTTGTAAATAATTTACTTGAATAAGGCTGATGTATCATCTTCACCCCACCATGATACTTTAATATTCACAAATCGACAAAATGATTGATGTTTTGCATTCCATTGTAATTTCGGAATATGACAAATAAGATTTGCATAGACAGGACCTTCGACAAATGGTGGTAAACTTGTTCGAACACAAACATCTTCTTGATTACGATTTTTTTGTTGTGATTGTGATCGATTTTGTCGTTCTAATATAGATTAATTTAAAAATTTCCTAATGAAAATCAGTCTTAACATACTTTTTGGTGTTGTTGGACGTTTTCCAGTTGTTGTATTCGACATTTTTTTTTATATACGCGACAAGAAATTCACATACCAATCTTATTCGACATTCAAGATGTTCTTCTTCTAGAATAGAAAAAAATACAATTAAGAAGTCTTCTTTGGTGACAATAATAATATTAGATTAAAATCAAACCAATCTTTGTTCAATTAAATCCGCCATGCGAATTATTGAACTAGTAGTTACCTAGCATTGATCAGATCCTCCATACAGTTAATCTTACTAATAACAGTGACCTCTATAATTTAAATCATAAAAATTGTTGTCGCACTTTACAAGGAAGATAATCTGTATTATCTAAAATATATTCTATGTGGATCATATTTCATAAGAACTTACGAAAACAAAAATTATTTTGAATAATAAAATATCCATTTAGTAGAACTAATTGTAACATAACGAATTCGTACATTAACAATAAAAAAAAGTACATGTTGGTCACACTTGTCGAATGAAAATGGATTTTATTTAATTCGTTGCGGTAAGTACAAAGAAGAATATGTGTCATACCTTCTATTTATCTTCTTTTCATTGAATTCATTTCTCTCTGTGCCTCAAGTTCTTTACTATGTGCAGACGTAACTAAATGTTCCATTGTTCTGCTACCTAATAGATATATCTTATGATGCTTATGGGTTTATTAACCTATGACATTGTTTTTGTTGAAAACATGTACATTATTATAAAATTCCATTACTAAAAATAATACTTTTATTGATCAATTTATTATTGAAATATCTTAAATGACTGCAATGTCAATAAAATTCATTAAACCTTTAGGGTTAATCTCTTGAGTTTTATTTGTAAAGACGCAGAAATCGATCGAAATAAAATACATGAAATATTTTACACTTCTCTTTCTTTTCTTTTTGAAATTAAATCACTCAATTTCTCACTAATTTGCATATTGAAGTGATTTACTTCGTTCTCTCTTTTGTATTGAATACGTTTAATATTTATCACTTGGAGTTCACTATATTATGCTAGTAGTAGTAGTAGTAGTAGTAGTAGTATATATGAACCATAATCAAATACTTATAATGAACGTATAATTATTCTTTATCCAATAGAAAAAAAAAGTGCTGTTGCAATACTTCAACTAAAGATTTGAAGTGTGCAAGTGAGTGAAGTACAACTGAAGGGCAAATGAAGTAAACGAATACAGAACGAACAAAATACAGTGATGTATATACATCTAAGGTTTCGCTTTTTGTTCTTTGTTACTATGTTTTTTTCTATGACTTTCCGGGATTAAAGTCTTTGTTCTGTTGAAGATACTATAAGAATTGATTTTCAAGATTCGAGCGACATCTGTAGTGACAAATATTCTATTTTATTTACACCATACATATATATAATCATTATAATAACATACTATTTTTATTATTGATTGCATATAATTTTTTCATTTCGATTTATTGAGGTCTTTAACATTATTTTTTATAATGGCGTCGCTTCCTCGTTGTGGGTATTGAGTTGTATTTCGTAAGACAGGCAAACAGACAGTCAACATCATTTTTTCGTGGTTGAGAGTGACTCATCAGTTTTTTTCCTATACTACTACAACATAAAGGTATATTATATTCTCATTCTCTCATTTTTTTTGCTTGTTATTCTTCAGACATTTGCATTGGCTCAGTGTCATTGTACTATTTTTCTCGTTCATTTGTAAGTATTGTAGATACTTATTGCTATTTTTTGCACGCTTGTTTGCTTTTTTTGATATGTATGTAGTTTTGCTTTAATTGACTTGTAAGCAGTCATCTCTTGCTAATTGTACTGTTGTACGAGAATTTCATAATAAGAATGAAAATGAGGTTTGCTTTTTTGATATATAAATAATAGATATTCATTCTTGTTTTCTAGACTATGATGCATAAAGTCAAAGATGTGGTTTCGAAATTTTTGCATCCATCATTTTTATTCTCGACTGATAATGAAACAGATCGTTCTGTAAGTTAATAATATTTAATAATTTGTTTTTTCAATAATTTCATTTTTAGAAACGAAAAAGATCTGGTTCACCTGACAAAAATAATAATGAACAACAAATAGAGCCAACAGGCACTACTACAATTACTACAAGTAGTTATTCAAATAGTACGATTGATTCTGTTTTTCTTCTTCTAACGAGTAATTTATTTTTAATATTTAGATCGTTATTCATCTACGAAAGACGATGGAGCACAATTGACTGATGATGAAGATAATAATAGTCGAGATGTACCATCAGCTGAACAAGAAAAAAAACGACGTCGTACTGCTAACTATCAATCTACTACTTCGACAAATATTTATCTTGGAGATGATAAACCATCACCATCTACAAGTAGTTCAACAGATACTCATATATCATCAACAAGCACAACACCAATTCTACATCATCATACAACTACTCAACAAAATTATTATGAGAGAATAAATCGATCGAAACAACGTTATCCTATTACTTCAACTTATCGAGGTTCAACATTAAATTATGATCCATCAAAATCACCTCTTTTCTCTACTGGTAAACACGTAAGTACAAATATTTTTCTTTTTTCTACCAATAATAAAAATATTATTCTTTAGAACACAACAAATCTTCAGTCAAATGAATTTTCAGCTAATCATTTATTAGCAACTAGTCTAACTAATCGATCACAATCATCAATATCAAATCATCAACAATCTTCAGCAACATTAACAAATCCAGTAATTATTAATTGATTAATAGGACGAAATATTTATTTAAAAAACTTTTTTTGTTATTATAGGTATCCAATCAAAGACATATGTTAGGTGGTAATTATACATCAAATAATTCACGTCGTTTACCTTATATTGAAAGACTTCGTCAACGAACTTTAAAAGATTGTATACGACATAATCATACACTTGATAGTCAACCGTATGTATTCAATATAAAAAAAGTCGTCTCTTTATTAAATAATTGATTCCCTTTTTTTTTAGAGCATCTGTATCAGCGATTGAAGAACAGAAATCGATTACAACTTCTCCAGTATCAAAACGATTAAAAGTACCAGAAAAAGAATGTGGAATTCAATGTGATGTAAGATATTTTTAATTATTATTATTAGAATTTAATAAATGTTTTTTTTTTAATTTGTAGATTCCAATTGTAGAATCAAGTCAAACATCTGACCGTATAACTTCTGCAATTGATAGTCAAAATGAAGTATCATCGGCTCCGATTATTCCACAAATTCAAACAAATAGTTCAATTACAATTGAAAAAAAAACATCATCCATACCATCAATTACTATTACCAAACCTAAAGTAAATAAAGAAAAGATTACATGAAATTTAATAGTTATATTTTATTTTAAAGGTACTCGGTGATATTACACCATTTTCATGGCCAAAATTTGCTCGAGCTCAACAAGAATATGCCAATAAATATCCTGAAAAATGTCGGAGAGATGCAGGTATGGTATTAATTCTTTTTTGTATAATCTGAAAAGAAATTATTTTTTTAAATTAGTTGTTCCTTCACTTATTGGAAAAGCGAGCGTGAATACTACTGCAACAATTTATCCATCGATAAATGCTACTACTATGCCAAAAATTCCGTTTTTATCTTCACGTCCTACTGAACCCGTTTGGAAATGTCCATGTTGCACTAAAGAACATGCCGTACAAACAGCATCCTGCTCACTTTGTCATGGAATTAATCCAAATTATAAAAAATTAAGTGGTAAGTTTAAAAGAATAAAAAAAAGAAAAATAACTATATATTCTATTTTTTAATTAAGCGATTAAACCAGCAGAAACAGTCGAAAAAGAACAAGTAGCATCAACTGTGATTGCAAAAGAATCAAGTATATCTACACCGGTTATTCCTGTTACTAATCAAACAACTACTAAAGAAAATGTATTATCAACTTCGTCACCAGTTATAACTACAAGTACTATTACTACTGCATTTCCTTCATTCGGTACTACACCAGTTACAACCAAAGAAAATACAGCTATTAATTTTTCTGCACCAATATTTGGTATAGCATCTACAACTTCTACACAAAATACGAGTATTACGACTGCTCCAGTGACTACTAGTTCTCCTATATTAAGATTTGGTGTAACACCATCGCCCATGACAACTACAACAGCGAATCCAGTATTAAGCAGTACATTTCCTCCAATGTTTGGTACAACACCAATCGCATTCCCAACAACAATACCAAAAGAAAATCCCGTAGCTACTAATGATTTACCTTTATTCGGCGTGACAACGACAAAAGAAAACTCTACTACTACTAGTGCACAACTATCATCTGGTACAATACCATTCAATAAATCATTAACTCCTGCTCCTAATACTACTACAAGTAATTCCTTTCAAATTGGTACATCATTCCCATCTTTTGCTTCATTACCATCGACAAATCTTACTGCAGTTCCTACAAGTTCTGCTGTTCCATCAACTGTTGGAATGACACTCAATCTACCACCGTCAATACCTTTTGGATCATTTGGTAGTACCACAGTAACAACAGCACCGACAACTACAACAGTTTCATCCAATCCTTCAACAACATTTGCAGTTCCATTTGCTACTTCAGCATCCTCTTTAACAGCAAGCACTTCAACCGCTCCAAATTTATTTGGTTTTTCAACGGTAACGCCAGTATCTTCTACTAGTACTACTTCAATGTTTCCAGTGCTACCAACAACGAGTACTTTTTCCAGCCCAAGTAATTTTATGGCTGCACCAACAACTACAACATCAGCTCTACCTGCATTTGGTAATAATAGTAGTTTTAGTATTGCACCTTCGTCAACAACAGCAACAAATCCTCCATTCGCTTTCGGAGTGAATACTTCTCCAAAATCCATGACACCAACACTTAATTCACCAATGAATACAACTGCTGCACCTGCATTTGGTACAATTACCCCATTTGGTACAACTCCAATATCATTTGACAAATCTACAAATTCATTTTCAACTCTTACTTCATCAAATCCACCATCGTTTAGTTTTGGAATCCCATCAAATACTAATCAATCTTCAGTAACTCCAGTTGTTTCTACTGGTGGTTTTTCATTTGCACCTCAGTCATCAACAACACCGATGTTTGGCATTGGATCACCTTCATTAGCATCAAATACATATAGTTTCGGCTTACCACCAACAACATCCGCAAGTATGTCTTCATTTTCATTCTCTACACCAGCAACATCATCGCCTTCGAATCCATTTTCAACAACAGATCTTCCAAGTTCCACAGATGGAATATCGGAGTAAGAATTATTTCAACTTAATTATTTTATTTTATTTCATTTTTTCATTTTCAGTATGTTTAACATTGGCAGTGGAGGTTCACCACGACCTATGCTTAGAGCTAGACGTCGAAGAAATCCATAAAAACAGCCCGAATTTTTTAAACAATATTATTGATTATCGTGCTTTTCTTTCTTTCTTTTTTTCCTGTGTGCGTGTGTTCGTGTGTGCGTGTTTTTTTGTTCTTTGTATCTCTCATATGCGTGTGTGTTTGGATAAACAGAAATGTAATAGTTTGTTTTCGTTTTTGAGAGTAATGAAAAAGAACAGAAAAACAAGAAATTAATAAAAAATAAAACAAAAGTAACTATTATACAATTTTTGTTGTAGATTATTTCAAACATGGTCAAAGTACGAAAAGGTAACAAACCACCACCAGATGGATGGTAAGTAATATAAAAATATTTCTTAATTAATATAAAAATTCTATTTTAGGGATTTAATTGAACCAACATTAGATGAAATTGAAGCAAAAATGCGTGAAGCTGAATTAGCACCACATGATGGTAAACGAAAAGTCGAAACATTATGGCCAATATTTAAAATTCATCATCAAAAATCACGTTATCTCTATGATCTTTATTATAAACGTAAGACAATAAGTAAAGAATTATATGATTTTTGTATTAAACAATCAATTGGTGATAAAAATTTAATTGGTAAGTGATGCATTTTTTTCTTCGCAGTAAAAACAATTTTATGTCTTTGTAGCTCAATGGAAAAAACAAGGTTATGAAAATCTTTGTTGTCTTCGTTGTATTCAACCACGTGATACAAATTTCAATAAAAAATGTATTTGTCGTGTACCAAAAGAGAAATTAGAAGAAGGAAAAGTTGTTGAATGTGTTCATTGTGGTTGTCGTGGATGTTCTGGTTAATGTGTATGTATATTTCTCTTCGTTTTTGTCTCATTGTATTTCTCTTTTTTCATTTTCTGTTTTGTTTATTGTAAAAAAAAAGAGAACGATACATCAAAAAATAAAATAAAGACTGTTGTTTGATTCATAAACAAACGAAAAGATTTATAATTAAGTTGTTTTTATTAAAAATCAATACGAAATAGTTGATAGTCTTGTTATCAGCTGAAGACAGGTCTATGAAAGAATCAAACTTTATATTTGTGTTTTTCTAGATTAGTGTCGAAAATTTAATAACAAGATTTCATTTCGAAATAATATATCATGATTAGTCATCTCCGGTAAAATAATGTTATTAATAATATTATTTTTTCTATTTCATTGTTTATTAGAATAGGATTTCGAACTTTTGCCACAATGGTTTCAACCAAATCGCGCCCTATTGTTGTATCTGGTCCGAGCGGGTAAACTAGAAAGTGTGTTTTTTATAGTCTATTAACAAAACAATAGCATTCAATTCGAGGATAATGAATAAATATTTATTTATTTTTTTTAATAGATCTGGCAAAAGCACATTAATTAATCAATTGTTTAAAGAATATCCAACAGCGTTTTCTTTCAGTGTTTCTCGTATGTCGTTGTATTATATCTTAAAATCATATACATATTCATTGTTTTTATTAGACACTACACGATCACCTCGAGCTGGTGAACAAAATGGTCGAGGTATTTAATATTTTTGTTTTCATAACTAATAATAATAACAACGATAATTCTGATGAGTAGAATATCATTTTGTACCACAAGATCAAATGAAAAAAATGATTAGTAATGGTGATTTTCTTGAGACAACAGAATTTTCATCCAATCTCTATGGAACAAGGTTAATAAAATGAATTATGACTTTCTTTCTTTTTAACTCTTTTTACTTTGTTTTTCATTAGTAAAAAAGCTGTTGAAGATGTAGCAAAAACAGGTCGCATATGTGTACTTGATGTTGATAAACAAGGTGTTCAAAATATTAAAAAAAGCGATCTTCATCCATTATGTATTTATATAAGTCCACCAAGTTATGAAATACTCGAAAAACGTTTACGTGCTCGTAAAACCGATGATGAAAGTGCAATAGGTAGACGTTTAAAAGAATCGAAAGAATCAATGGAATTTAGTAAACAACCCGGTGTATATGATCATATTATAATCAATGACAAACTTGATGTTGCTTATAAAGATTTAAAAGAGGTTCTTCGTAAAGTAAGTTATTTAATAATTATATAAGAAAAAAAATTTTTTTTTTCAAATTTTTTTCTAGGATATTGAAACAGTTTTAAAGCAACATAAATAACAATAATAACAACTATTCAGTAGAATGTTTTAGTTTTCTATGTTTTTGTTTCTATTGTAGTGAGCAATACATATATAAATATATATTTATTTATTCCAGTGAATAGTTTATTGTATTTTTTTCTTTTTCTGAGTCATTTTGATAAAGATTATTGTAAAAAAAATAATTAAATTTTTTCCTATTACATTTTAATCACATTTGCTAAATTTCTGTCTCGATTAGAGATGTGCACTGGACCAAAAAATATTTTTTAGTCCCGGTCAAAAATTTGCTTGCTATTTCATCAACTTTATTGTTCAACTACGCATTTTATAGAGAAATATTTGCTCTTTCTACCTGTATGTTTTAAAGTATTCCACAGACCGTCATTATCAAATAATTTAGGAAATATGATCGATCTTGACGCCATTTTCTTCGTCTATGATAATCACTCAGTGTTCGCGATAGTCTTATTTTGTAGAGAAAACATCTTTCTACAAAACGTAGTATTTGAAACTTTATTACGCTTTTAGATAGCAAGTAACGTTTGTCCGAGGACTCGCTTAGCTCTTTCTCGTAGAAATACAGCCTCTTCACATTTACCAGAAAACCATGAAAAATTTCTCTTTGATATTTTTTTGACATATCTCCTTCTTGATCCCCGCCCCTGATCATGGTCACCCAACAGACCTCAGATTCGAAGTCCCCACATCGAAATACCTCAAGAAATGTCTTTTCCGGAAAATTGCTCTTCGATGTTTTTTTGACCCTGCGGACATACAAACAAACAATTTATTTCTGCTAGGCTCTTCTCTCCGAGAGAGAGAGAACAGTGATATGTCCAATTCTATTGCCGGGACTAGATTTCACCATGTTCATCTCTAGTCTCGATGATGCTTTATATATTATCCTTTGATTTGTCAAACTTATATACAAATTTTAACATTTCGACACAAATTCAAAGAAAATTTTATTTAAATAATTTCTTATACATTTAAAGTATGTATATAAAAATATATATTAGAAAAAATAATGTACTGATAAAAAAATTCCAAAAAAAATATTCACTTTAATATTGAGCGAGCAGATACATGTTGACGTATCGGTGGTGCTATAAATCCAGAAAAACTTGTTGATACTTGTTGATAGTTATTTTGTGTTACATGTAATTTAACATAGTTGTCAATAACTGAATCACTCGGACGTGTTTTAGGAAATTTATTTGGATAATATGTTTTTCCTTTATTATTAACTTCATTTTTAAGTCGACTGTATTTTGGTGTGACGAAATATTCATCTTTGTCACTACTTTTGGGAAATTTATCAAAACAACCATCTTTATTTCCACCGAGCTAAAATAAAATAAATATTTTTTTTTCGTTTTAATTATTAATAAATACCGATTTGCCTGGGGAGCTAAATTTAAATGGTTTTTCAGGCGCAGATTTTGAACGATCTTTTTCTTCTGATTGTCGTTTACCACCTTTACCTTCTTCATGAAATGGATTTTTATCAAAAAATTCTTTTGGATGCATATTCAATTTAAATACACCGGCTTTCATTGATGCTTTATGATGAGCATTGTCTTTCTAATATTCAAAATTATTTTCTTCTGTTTTAAATTTTACAATATTACCTTTTGAGATTCTATTGGTTGATCATAGTTATCTGTTCGATCTCTATATGTATATGGAGGATCTTTTTCTAGACCTAAATTTGGATAACTAAAAGAAAACGAATAAATTTAACATGATGTTTTTTATGAAATTTTCGATTAGTTCATACCCATAACCTGTTCCTTTCTTTGCTGGATTAGTTTTGAAATTTGATTTTTCAGCAGGTGGCTTTGTTTGTTCACGATATTTAGATTTTGTTGGATCAAGATCCATAATGGGACCACCTAGCGTTCCATAAAATGAACCCAAACCTTCACTATAGAAAAGAAAATATTTTATAATCCGAAACTTTTAATCTCAAATTAAAAATCTTAAGAATTCAACGTACGGTTCCTTTGCTCGATACATGGTAACAAACGGTCTTGTAACAACATTCTTTTTCTTTTCCTCAATACGAGCTTGACGACGCATTGATACAGGATCAACATATGAAGCTTTTAAAGGTTTAAATTCTGTATCAAAATATCCAGCCATTGATCCTGTTGATCGTTCTTTTGAGCTTTTACTCATCATTTGTTTATTTTTGTAAGCTGCTTCATTAAAATTACCTTGAAAAAACAAAGAAAATATACTCATAAAAATTTTATTAGGTCGACAGCAAACTATACCTTTCGAAGGTGTTGTATATGGATCTTTGATGGTAACATATTCCATCTCTTTAAATAGACCCACTCGATCCATATCTTCTTTTCCTGTCGCCGCCATGTTGAGATCTTAATGTAAAAAAATGACAAACGCTTTTTGATCTCACTCTTCGACAAGTGATGCTGCCATTATTATTATGCTGTCAGGACGACAACAAAAAATAAATTATTCTCTCCATACAGAGTGCGCCATGAAGCAGTTTTGACCTTGACGTATTTATTTCGTTAAGTAATCAAAAACAGAATGTTTTATAAAAATCAAAATTCAATCTATTTTCTTTCGATAATCAATTGCATAATGTTCAATGCTTATTACAATGGGCGTCTTTACCTATTATACAATCCATTATAGTTTATAATTGAATTTCATTCATAATATAGTCAGTCGAATGGACTTTATATTTGATTATTATTCTTTCATATAATCTCAGTATGACGCGTCTTTTTATAATAAGTCTTAGACAAAAAAATAATCTGAATCAGTTATTAATACGATATCTTGCTAGAGATTGTGAATGACAATGATGTAATTCTTATAAATTCGTTTTTAATAAACAAAAAATACATTTTGTAAAATATGTTGATTAAATTAAAGTCAGATTAATGTCTTCTGTATTAGATATTTGTTACGGTGAAAATTTCTCGATTGTATTTATGACCTAATTTTTTGCATGTAAAAGAAAGATAAACTTAAATATTTAAAATAGAATAAATGATAACAATTTTTGCTTGTAATACTTGAAACTACATACTGTTCTACATCTTATCTTTTCTAACTCATTCATCTTTCGTATTTTTATTTGTCGTCATTTTAATGACGCAAATTACTGTTATTTATTTTCGTAAGTAAATTTAAAACGAATATCTGTTAAATAATCTGTTTATAGTCTAGTCCTAGTTTTGTATTGTATATCATCTGTGATATCAATTCGTATTAGCCCTTGTGCAAAATGGAATACAACTGCTATTACTATAGCCGGCAATGGTATTCAAGGAAATACCCCAACGCAACTTTCTTATCCACAAGGAATTTTTATTCATGATAAAACAAAACGTTTATTTGTATCAGATTCTTTCAATAATCGCATACAAACATTTCCACTTGATCGATCGACAACAACTGGTACTACTGTAATACCTCGTATATTACAAGGTTTTAAAATCTATCTTGATGATGATGATGATGATTTTCCAACTATCTATATTGCTATGAATGGTGCAAGTCGTGTAGAAAAATGGATCAAGGGTGCTACTCATGGTATAATAATTGGTGATACATGTCTTGATTGTACAGGCGTATGGTTAGATAAAGAAAAGAATGTTTATATGACAGAACGTAAACGAAATCGTATTCTTAAATGGTCACCTGTAACTAATCTAACTACCATAGCAGCTGGTGAAACAGATCAAAGTGGACCGAGGCCTGATCATCTTAAAGATCCCGAAGGAATTTTTGTAGATAAAATTACAAATGATTTATATATAGCAGATTTAGTAAATCATCGCATTCAGAAATGGCCAAAAGGTGCTAAAGAAGGTGTTACAGTAGCTGGATCAAGTGATGGTGATCCAGGATCAGATGCTAAATCTTTAGATAGACCATATGGTTTACGTGTTGATGAAGAAACAAAATCTCTTTATATAGTTGATTTATTAAACAATCGAATTCAACGTTGGAAACATAGAGCAACCGAAGGCGAGACTATTGCGGGTGATAATGGTATGTAGTTTAATTTAATCACTCTTTTTCATAAAAAACAAAACAAAAATTCAAATAATCGATATTTAACAATAGGTGAAGGCAGTAAGAGTAATCAATTTCATCATCCAACTGATTTAGATTTCGACAATGAAGGTAATCTTTATGTGAGTGATGCCTGGAATCATAGAGTTCAATTGTTTCTTTTGATTGATAATGAACCCTGTGTTGGACCATCAACAACACCAGTATCAACAGGTAATTTCTTTAAAAACATTTTTCTTTCATCTATTTAATCGCCTTTTTTATATATTTACAGGAAGTTCATTAAAATCTAAGTAAGTATAGCATATATAAAATATACCTTCCAAATACAATATTAATACTTTAGATTAACAATGAATTTATCTTTGATTCTAATTCTAACTGTGATAATGACAAAATTATTTTGAATATAAAATTCTTCAAACTGTTTAATTTTTATCTATGTGATTTTGTTTTTGCAAAAATTAATTATTTAATATTACGCTTACAGTGATAAAAATTTATTTATTTACAAGGAAATAGTAATATACATCAAGGTTTTTATTCTTCTAAACAACCATAAATATGCAAATGATTTTATCAGTTTCGATTCGTATAAACCATTTTTTCGATACGTACAATCAGATCGGTAATTTAAATATAAAAAGACCAGAGAAAATATTTTCTTTCTTTTCTATACTAATTTCAAATTCAGTTAATGCATAGATAAACAATGAGAATACAAAAGGTTTCTATTTGAATGAAAACTTCAATTATATTTTTCAATGTTTGTATAAATCACAAATGTTATTTTCAACTCTTTATTTATCATTAAAAATTAAGATGATCGTTACAGAAACTGAACCAAATAAAACTTACTAATTATTTTAATAAAAAAAACATCGTATCTACTTCGTTGATTCAAACTTTTCAAGAGCTTCTTTCAAATACTAGTCATTATGATAAATCGAAGCCTACAAACTACTATACTTCTTTCTATCGTTCAGTTATTAGTCTGGCTATTTTTAATAAGTTTTTTTTTGTTGTAAACATTCGATCAATCAGAATTTGGAAATAGTAGAAATCTATTGATTCTTTGTTTCTATTATTATTCAATATTTTAAAAGAAAAAAGAAAGATTGTAAAACGCGAACAAACAAACAAACAAAGCATCCGTGATGCTTATAAAAATGACAGATAAATATTTAAAAAAGAATTTCATACACACAATAGCTACAAATTGAATAATTATAATCATCGATTGTTGCTATATTTTTGTTGAGAGAAAATCGATAGATCTATAGTTCACACATCATTTTTCAATCAAAATCATAAAAAAAACACAGACTAAAAACATACGAGAAAATGAGCGGAACAAAACACAAAGAATGTGATGTACTGATAGAAGTTTTAAAAAAAACGAACAAAAAAAAAACATTGATGCAAACAGACAGACTGTCATTCATTACAGATATGCGTTCTGGAATATATCAGAAGATGAAGTAACAAATAACAGTAAATAAGGAATGTTCAAGCACCAAAAAACGAAAAAAACAAACTACTGCTCAAACAGAAAAATCTATATACAAAAAAAAACGAATTATTTTGTAGCACGCCATCATTTTCATCAGCTTCTTAGAAGAAAAACAAAAAAAACATATGCGCTAATCTCTTTTTTTTTCGTATCAACAAAAGAAGAAAAAAAAAAAGTTAATATCTGATCTGTGAGAAGAAAAAAACATGTATCAATACATTTTATGAAACAATTTGTTTTTTCATATCATTCCATTCATCCTCAATACAAACAAAACTTCGTTGTAATAATTCCATTTGTTGCATTAAAGAATTTTGCATTGCTAATGTAACGGCAAATTGTTGACGAAATACAGTTAAACGTTGTTCAAATTTTTGATGAGTTGATAACTAAAATAGAAATATATATATATATATAACATTACACGCCATTGAACAGAAAATGTTTATTTTATGGTGTTAAGTAGAACTAATTTATACGTTCAGATTCAAAGTATGACAATGAACAAGGTTCTTTAGTAATGTCAAAATATTTCGACTATTTAATGAAGATGAAGAAAAATATTCATATTACTTCAAAATTACGACATATTCACGCATGAGAAACAAAAATCAATGCACGTCTATAAAACTTTACTTCATGCATTATATAAATAATCTATTTCCGAAATACTTATATGACTTACTTTTTTCGACTCAGTAACCCCTCCCCCGCCCCTCATAATAAAATACCCCGGACTCTTGCACATCGCACTTTTTTTTGGCGAAAAATCGCCCTACCCCCCTACGGCGTTTTTACTTTCTCCTATCGGTAATATATTTAGTGAAAAACAAAGACAAGGCTATTTATTCTCGTTGTAGGTATGATTTCAAATTAAAGCTACATCCGACCTATAATCGAGATTAGATTTGGCATTCAATTTTTTTATCTACTATTCTATAATCTTCATCAAATTCCATGTTGATCGTTTATTAGTCAAAAAAAGGAATATTTTTTTAATTTACCTGTTGTTGATCTTTTATATTGTTGTTATTATTTCCAGATGTTTTAATAGCCGAAAAAGTACGTGTTGAAAAATTTTCATTAAGTGTTGGAAATTTAAATTTTTCTTGTTTACATTGATTATTTGTACCATTATTTAGTAATGATTGAATACTGTTCATTGTCAATAGATTATGATTTGCAGCTGCTGTTGTTGATGTTAATTCATGTGCTGGTAATGGAAGATTTGAATGATCATATGATGAAAGTGGAGAAGATTTGTCTATTGAATTATTTGGTGTATGAGAATTTGAAAGTGATGATGTTGCTGAAAGATTTGATGGTTGTTGTATTGTACCTAAGAGTTTTTTACGATATTTTTTTACAATATTTTGATATTTTCGATTTGCTGCTTGTTGAAGAAGAGTCGTTTGTTGTTGTTGTTCATTTGATTGATTTGTGCTTGGTGATGAATGATCTGGACTAATAAGAAATGAATTAGTTGTCGTTTTTTCTTCATTACCATTTGTAATCGTATTTGGTGTGGAAGATGGTGTTGCATAACGATTACGTGCTAATCGTAAAAATGGTAAACGTTCTTGTTTAGATATTAAATGATGTTTTTTGATTAAATGATCAGTTAAATTTAATACCCATGTATCACAACGTGGACATAATAAACGTTTTTTACCATCAATAGGTAAATAATTTGATGTTTGTTGATCAATAGTTGATGAACTTGTTGTTGTTGTTAATGATGTTTGATGATTATTATCTAATTCATTGATAGGTGATGATGGACATGTAATTTGTTGATTATTTGTATTAATACTAATTGGTGTTTGTTGTGGACTTTTATCAAGTGCAATTGATGGTGTATTTGTTGGTGAACTTCCACTAACAGTTGCTATTAATGAATTATTATTATTATTTTGATCTGTATATGCAAGTAATGTTAAAATTTCTTGTCGAGCAAGATTATGTGTAACAGCAAGATGATGAGAAAGACGAGAAAAATTTCTTTCATTACAAATTGGACAAATTTTTCCACGTCGATAACCTGATGATTGTGGAGTTGAAATTCTAAAGAATTTTTTATTATTCAAATTATGAATTTCGTTTTCTTTTTATAAATAAACTTACGTTGATAAAGTGTTATTAGAATTTTTATTGGTTTCTTCATCAATAGTCAATGGTTGTTCTTGAAGATGTTCACTATCCGAAGAATTTTCATCATAATTTCGATTAACAAATACACAGACAGGTTCAGATTTAATTGAATTTGTACTTAAATTCCAACAACCATTTTCATTTAATATAGGTGTAATACCATTAACCACAGATGGTGTCGATGTTATTTCAGATCGTAGATCAACTGGTGTTGTTGTTTCATTTTCATCAGATAACTAAAAAATAAAATAAATAAATTTCGAAAAAAAATAAATTTTCTTTTTCTTACTTCATCTTCATCTTCTTCACTACCATATTGTGGATATGTTGTAGGGTAACCATTATCATCATATTGTTCTAAATTGTCATTCACTATTGATTCATCACCATTTACACTTGTTTTACGTAGCATAAAACGTTGAAAATCATCAAGATTATTTAATGATGTATTATTTTCTATCATTCCATCATCATCATCTTCATCATCATTTGTATCATCGATAAATATTGCTCCACCTGTATTTTCATCGGATGATAATTGCATAAGTTCATCATTACCATTACCCATTGTTTCATTCATTCCATCTTGATCATCTTCACCATCAACTGAACGTTTAGCACGTTTACCCAAACGAATACTATTTGTTAATATACGTGATATTGATGCTTTACTTAGTACACGATTTGATGTACGTTGTAAACGCATTTGTATTTGACCGATTGTTATTAATGGATGACGACGTTTCATTTCTCGTATCATTTCAGCTTCTTCTTCAGTTATAAAACGAAGACGTGTACCAGCACGTTGTTTTGCTGATACACGACCCTCATCAATATATGTTCGAAGTATACTTCGAGCTAAAAAAAAATAATAAATACAATAATAGAATCATATGTTATTTTGACATAAAATATGAGTCATGTGTCATTGGAAAAACATGAGATAAATGAATGACAGAGTATATGTACTGAGAACCCTTTTTTTTCGTTCTTCCTTACCTGTTGATCGTTTGATATTCAGTTTTTTTGCAAGTGCTATAAAATCTTCTCCTTTCTTATAAGTATCAATTAGTAATCGTCGGTCAACATCACTAACACGTACATATCGACCACGACGTTGATCGGCTAATTGTTGTTGAATATCCAATGAATTCATAATTAGTTTGTCTTTGTCTAAAATGTGAAACAGCTGTTTTCCACTTTAAAAAAAAAATCTGACGCACATAGTTTAATGTCGAAAAGATTTTCCAATAAGTAAATCTCATATTAAAAAATAAAGAAAAAGGTTACCCTTTTTTCATCAACTTGCTATCGTCGAAATGCTCTTTCACATTTCGATGTATGTGTAGGCCAAAAAAAAGAAAAGAGAGATAGCGTAGTTGAGGGTGACTTTAACTCTCGAGCATTCGTTCTGTTCCCTTTTTCTCGTCTATATATATATATATATATATATAAATGTATGTGTCTACATAAAGGCGAACGTACTTCTATTGAAATTTTCATTGCATCGCGTTCTTTTCTTTTTTCTCTTCTATTTACTTTGTATACCTTCATTGAACGGACAAGAGACATTCGTTGTAGTAGTAAGGTTCGTTTTTCCCGCTTCATACCCGTTTGTTCCCTGATGTATATATGTGTGTTCTTACCTCTTTTTCTCCTCCTTTGCCTTTCTCTCTTTTAAATATATATATGTACACCTTTCTCTCGTCTCTATTTCATTCAACACAGAGCGAACATTAAAATGAGCGAAAGAACACAAGACGAATTTTATATATGTTGATGATGATGATGGTGGTGGTCGAATGGACGATAGGCTTCAATATGCTTTTACTATATCTAGATTCATCATTCTTTCTTTCTCTCTAGACGTGCTCTTCGCATTTGAATACATGCGAATATAATACTTTTGCTTGCTCAAAGAAAATACAGTAAAAGAAAAAGAACGACAACGAATATTGTTTGGTTTGTTAGGGTAAAATAAGAGGAGAAGAAAAAAAGAAAGAATCCGAAAATGAAACTTTAACGGACGTTGATGTGACAGGACAAAACTAAGAAGTTGAGAGTTAACGGTTGAAAAGAAATGTGCATATGCATATAAGTAAACGTTTTATTTCTCATTAGAAATTTCGATTAAATTCTCAATTATGAAGTCTTAGAAACACTTATATATTTCCAATAAAAATCAAAAATTGACAAGATGATATTCATTTATGGAAATTTTTATCAAAATAAAATTTATGGAAAAGTTTTATTTCTTGAATTTTTAAACCAATTAAATATGATAATCTCTTTTTATAAAAAAAAATAAATAATGATTGATATTGATAAGATAACGATTATAGTCTGATAAGCAAAAAATGTTTCATTCATGAAAAGTGTAACTGTCTTAGCTTTTACTTACGAAAAAAACACAGGTGAATGAAAAGAAATGTTTATGTCCGAAGTCTAAGCCAATCTACCATTCGTTGATGTCCTCTATTCTACATATATGTATGTATATATATATACGTATATATATATATATACACTTCATCTCTCTGTATTGTGTGAGTGAAAAATGCTTGTGCATGTATGTGTGCTGAGAAGCGAAGAGAAGAAAAGGAATCTCAAAGACGGAACACTACACTACACAGTCGTTTTCTCGTTCTTTTACTTTACTTGCTTGCCGAGCGAAAAAGAAGAGTAAGAACACACACATAAATACGAAGAGTAAAGAGAAATGTTACGGTGAAACACTTTTAGCCATCATCACTCTACCAACAAATGGCTGTGCGTTGGCGAGAAAAAAAACCGAAATAAGGGAGAACGTGAAATTGACGACGAAATAGTTGCTGACGGACGTGCCTATTTACCCAGAGCGAATACTATCAAGGTGTTTTCTTTTTCCTTGCTCCTCCTTCCACATACACATACACAAAAGCTAAGTAGAAAGACTATTTGCTTTATATTTCGTTCGTGCTCTCTTTCGCCTTTTCCTCTTCATCTCTCTCTCACTTTTTCGCTTATAGACGACATCGATTCATCATCATTACGAATGCGAGACGTTCGTTCGTGTTGTATGCACTGTCGTTCTCTCTCTTTCGTCTTCATGATTTTATTTGAGTAAATGTTAGCAATTTCGTTATATATATATATATATATATACATACATATATGTCTTGTCCTCAGTCAACGACGATGATGATGATGATGATGATGATGATGATAATAATGACGATCAAATTAGCCCTCCGGAAAACATAAAAGGAGGAAGGACGAAATGATTGACATATTCGTGTGATAATCAATTTTTAACTAATATATATTACGTGATTACGTATGTCTATATGTTGAAATAATAGGTGCATTTTTTTCGCTTTCTGCTTAACGAATATTGTAAAAACAATAATAATATCGTTCGTATACATTAAGAGAAAGAGAACGAGATGAAGAAGAACAGAAATGCAAACATCATTCAAGTGGATATATGTATATATACCCAAAGGGTAAACGAACGGGACAGAACAAAGTAAAGAAAAACTATTGTTTTCCCGAAAATTGATGCTGTTCAATAGAAAAGTACACATTGAACACTCTTGTATCAAATATCCATTTATAAATGAAACGAAATTCATTCTATTGATAAGAATATAAAACATAAAAAAAAAACGGCGTGTGATTTATTATCAAAAAGAAGAAGAAGAAAAAAAAAGAATCTGAATAGTTATTTTATTTCACGTTCATCACCATCATCAAAAAGGCCTAGACGTGGTCGTCGTCGTCGTGGTGTAGTTGCAAATTTATTTTGTTTAAGTTCTGTCATAAGTGAATCCAAAAAATTATTATCTGTTGTTTTGTTCATTAGATTTCCATTAATTAAATTAGTTTTTTGCTGCACCGGTAATGTTTTGGTTGAATTTAATAGTACTTTAGTCGATATTAAAGATTTCTCTCGTTCCTAAGTAAAAAAAACAGGGTGAAAATTAAATTAGAAAATTTAAAATTTTTACTTTATTTTCTTTTTCAACATGTTCGATTAAATGTCGAAATATTGTACAACAACTATCATAATTAAATTCATTTAAATCTGTTTCACCAAATTGTTTCATTAATTCTTTTTCTTGTTTATCACATTCATTGACTAATGGATCAAGAGTATTATTTAATTTTAAACTTGATTGCTATTTAGATAAAAACAAAAATCAATATGAAATCTTGCTTTTTCTTTTTCTTTCTTACTTCATAAAATAATTTGTATTGTTTTATTATTTGTTCATCTTGAAGGAAATTTATTTGTTTAAGACCATCATCAATCTTTTTTTTCCAATCAATATATTCTGCTTTGACGAGTTTAAATCTAGAGAAGAAAACAAATCAATATTTATTTTGAAAGAAATTTTCAAATGTGTTTTTTTTACTGTATATCATCAGCAAGCAATGGTTTTAAACCATCAATAAATTTAAAATTTTGTGGTGCATTCTCAAGAAGAACACCAAGTAAATTTCGATATTCAGTTGAACGAATATCATGAAGTTGATCAAGAATATCTAATCGAAAACCAAATGCATTACCAGCATAGGAACCCTAATTGAATAATTTATAAAACATATTTTTATCGAATATTGTTTAATGAATATTTACATAGTTAAGAAAATCTCCAACTGATAGTAGAGAACGAGCTAATTGTTTGAGAGATGAATCAGCTTGTAGAAAAGTTATTATTTTAATAACAGTTTCAAATTTTCGTTTCAAATCATCAAATGTTTCATCAAATTCAATGATAAGAATACGTGTTCGAGTACGAAATTCATAAGATGATAGAGAACCAACTTCATGAATGAATTCTTCTGGTAATGTCCATTGTTCTCGTGGAGAATCATGAACAAGAATAATCTATATTTTAATAGAAAGAAAAAAAAGCTTCATAAAGTTATTATTATTTTATTATAGAAGTTTACTTCATCACTAGTTGGTAAAACTTTGAGTAACATACGAAGACATTCACCATTAAGATTTGATTCTGAATCTTGAAGGGATTGAAGAAATGTATGTGCATCATTAAAATGAAATTTTTTCAAGAAGACATTTATAGCAATTGATCGATTACATGGTAAAATCTATGAATATATTTGAAAAATATGTTGAACGTAAATAAAATTCATTCTTACAGTTGTTGCTTTTGCTTTTGTCGGTAAAGTTGTATTATTATTCTCTTTATTGACCTTAAAACAATTTTCAAGTTGCGTAAAATTAATTTGAGCATCGACTTTTTTATTAACATCCATCCAAAATTGACTAGTAGCTGAAAGAAAATATGTGTACGGAAAAGTATCAACGAAATCAAACATACCAAGAATAGTTTGCGGTAATTTTTTCCACTGTAATCGACGTACTTGACCTTTTGGTTTAGGAATACTATCGACTAAAGCGGATAAACCAGTAGTAGATGTATTGTTACCAAATTGTGCTAGCATTGGAGGTGCAGGTGCTCCTGGAAAACCTGATGGTGGTGGTGGTGGAGGAGGTGGTGCTCCTGGCAAACCTGGTGGCGGCGGTGGAGGAGGTGGTACTCCTCCAAATCCGCTGGATGGCAGTGGCGGTGGTGGTGGTGGTGGTGGTGGAGGCACTCCTCCAAACCCACTGGATGGCAGTGGTGGTGGCGGAGGTATTCCTCCAAACCCACTTGATGGCAGTGGTGGTGGTGGAGGTATTCCTCCAAATCCGCTTGATGGTAGTGGTGGTGGTGGTGGTATATTGGACGAATTTACTTGCATATTACCCGGAAATGGAGGTGGTGGTGGTATAACAGAAGGAGTTACTTGTAAGTTTGCAGGAAGAGGTGGAGGTGGTGGTATAGCTGAAGGAGTTACTTGTAAGTTTGCAGGAAGAGGTGGAGGTGGTGGTATAGCTGAAGGAGTTACTTGTAAGTTTGCAGGCAGAGGTGGTGGTGGTGGTATAAACGTTGGAGTTACTTGTAGATTTGCGGGTAGAGGTGGAGGTGGAGGTATTGCAAAAGTCTGATTCAAATTAGTGGGCAATAATAGTGGCACGTCTTCGGGAGCAGATGACTGGATAAGACGAAGTTCAGTATCGGTCATTGTTTTTGTGTTAATTAACATAGATGTCGGTGGAATTTCATTTAGTTTTTGTGATGGTTGTTCATTTGTAAGAACTGGAGTTGGTTTTGGAATGTCAGGAACTTCTTGATGGGTAGAAGAGGATTTAATGTCAGCAAGCGGTACGAAATCTGTTTGTACTTCTTTTTCGATTGTTTTTCTTTCTGTTTTTTTCTCTTGTGCTTGCGAGATAAATTGAAGAAGATCTTGAAGAACTTTTTCTCTATTAACAAAAATAATCGAAAATCATACATTAATTTATAATTTTATTTCTTTATACCGTTCAACTGAATTTGAATATGATAACATAGAATATAAGAGTTGCATTGCAGTAAGAAACACAGCTGAATCTTTTTCATCCGTTGCTAACTAATAAAAACAAAGAGAGATAAATATATATATACATCTTATTAATAAAATTTTCTTAATAACAAACCTGTAATGTAATAGCTTGACAAACAGCTTGATTATCATTCTGATCAAAATGTCCTAAAAATTCTTCTTCATCACGTTGTTGTTCTTCAATAAAACTATCAATTTGAATATCTATATCCTGATCTTCATCAGCTCGAGCTTGTTCTAATATTGATAAAAATCCATTTGCTACAAACATTCATTTATCAATAAGAATAATAAATAAAAAAACTATAAACTCACAATAGAGAATATTTCGATAAGAAAGTCGTTTTTCCATTGCTTCAGTTGATGATAAAATACCATTCAGTAATGCAATAGCTGACCATTTATGTTTTGGAATAACAGAATGTTTAAGTTGTTCAAGAATAACCACAAACATATTTGATAGATTATTATATGCCTTACAAAAAGAAATATCAAAAGTTTATATCAACAAAACAATTAATTCTCTTATTTACCTCAAAATCTTCTAATGCTTTAAGAACTAATTCATAACCAGTTTGTGAAAACACACATAGAGCAGTTAATAATTCAAATACACGCATACGAATTTCAATCGATGGAACAGTTAAAACTAAAATGCAAAAATTTATTTTTTTTGCTAAGATGATTTTTAAATTAATGATTTAACCTTTCGTTATTGAATCAACATATTGTGGATTTGATGCAATATGTTCAAATAATTCACTTATATTCATCATAGCTCGAAGACATTGTAATGTTTCATTAACAAGAATAGCATCAACAAGTGATAAACCTTTCGTTGTAATTTGTTCAAGATAAGTAAGTAATGCATGTAAACCACCTTGTTCAGCGAATTCTATAGTCCATGTTCGATTATTTGAATCTGATAATTTCTTTTTTAATAATACACATTTCATAAATGTTAAATCATTAAATATGCTAATTGCTTCTTCATATGTCGAAAATTTTTGTTGATCATTTGTTAAACGTTGTTTTTTATCTCGAATTTGTTCGATTATACGACGAGCGGAACGAATAAATAATTCACGTCCTCGAACAGGTTTTATTACTGTTTGTCGTTGTATATATTCACGAAAGGAATCAGGACGATATATTGAAGATCTTGGTGGTGCTAAACTAGTTTTAGTCGAAGGTGTAATTGAAGAATTTAGTAAAGTAGTTGTATTAGACGTTGGTTTAGGTGATAAAGCTGGTGGAATGTATACACGTCTCATGTTTGATCTAAATAAAAAATAAAATCATGTAGAATTTAATGAATAAATTGTTGATCATACATCTGTTTGGAAAAATACCCAATATAAAAATAAAAGATTTGAATAAAAAGATTTGGTATGTACAAAAAGAAAAAATTTGTTACTGTCATTCTATTATTTATTATCTCGATTGATAAGAAAGAAGAAACAATAGCTATAACATGGATTAAATAAATCCAAAAGATATTCTATTGGTTAATAAAGATATATATATAAATACAATTAAAATATTACGAAAAGAATAAGTTAATTAAAGGCTGCGTGACAGTCGCTTTTTATGCGTCCTATTGGTTATAGTAACTCAACATGTGTTTTTTTCGTATTACACGTCTTTATATATATATGTATGCATACGAAATAAAATGCAGTCGTTGATGTTAATGATAAGAAACAGCTCCTTTTTTTTTGCCCTCGAAATAATGATTCAACTCACACATTCTTTGAATAAGAAGAATGTATAATATAAAGGTGTATGTTTTTTTCTTTCGTAGCTTATAAAACATTGAATCGTATATATATTGCACATTTTCTGATGGTGATTTAAGCTTAAATAAATCTTTTTCAATGTTTTTTCTTTCTAAAAAACTGTCAACGATGAGTAATAGAAATGTATTTGTTAATAAATAATTTAATATATGCAGTAGAATGAGTTTCTCTAGACCATTTATTTATTTTTTTGTATTAAACAATCATTGAATAATATTTAAAAAGTATTATGATGATTCAGCTCGGAATAAATTCAGATATAATGAATAATGTTTATACAAGATGATTAATCGAAATTTTTGAATATCAAACAAATGTGTTTCTTGAATAATTAGAATTATTCATAATTTAATCACACGTGAAAGGACGAACAACATTTGCAAGGCAATGAAAATCGACTATCCAACGAGGAGGCAAATAGACATAATTTATTTCATTTGAAGATTTAACTATTGTAATTTTTATCTTCAGCCTGAATCTCGCATGTACTCCTTGCTTGTTGTTTATGTGAAGAATTATGAAAAGAAAAGAACTACTTTTGTATTTTAACTTATGCACGTTTCTTCTCTTGCTTGTTCATGTATATATGTATATTTATATAATAAGTTCACATTACGATCTTCTCATTGTCGGACTGAATTATTAGATAAAAGAGCCTTTTATCTTCATTGGGCTCATCAAATAAAAATCTTCTTCATTTTTTTCGACACAAGAAAAGTTTATCCATGGTACAAGGAAGTTACTATTAAAAATATCAAAAATAAAGACAAACAACTCTAGTCTTCTGTCTATTGAGAAATATACATTTTCTATTCATAAATAAATTAAAACTATCAAAAGATAATGATTTATTTATAATTGCAAGATACTAATTAAAGCAAGTTATAGCTTATGAAATTTGACTTCATTCTTAGTTGAAACAACTAACATATCTAACTCGAATAGAATAACACGATGTGGATTTGGATTGTAAGCAAATGTTTTCTTCATTTTTCCGTCATTGGTAATGTGCAAAAACCGTCCATTCTCATGATCGGCTATCAGCCATTCATTGTGCATGAGCGAACAGCAATGAAAGAATGCGTTATCATTACAAGGAATATCAAGTTGAAGTAACCATATAGGATCGAAAGTTTCAACTGATCGCAATTCCATTCGTACAACTTTGTCCGATTTATTCTTAACAATTAGGGCAAGTGTTTCGTTTGTATATACGATATTATGAATTATTTCATCTCTTGAAGAAATATGAGAAGATTTCCATTCTTTAATAAATTTCATCGAAGGTAATAGATTATATTGCACGATAGATGAAGGACGTCGTTTTGTCGACAAAAAAAGAGTTGTATCTGAGCATGTACACGAAAGCCAACGTTCTTTAATCGTAGGTACATTTTCAATCATTAAAGTATTTTTATCGATTAGAAAAACGTTATTTTCATCAATCACAACGAATTTATTTAATGTCGATGACCAACAAAAATCATAAATTTTTTCCGAATACCATACTGTCTGCTTGACTATGTTCATCTCTCGATCAATCAAACATAAATTTGGTTTTCGATGTATTAACACATGTTGACCATTGCAAGTTAATGCCATACGACTTTCTAAAGGATAATTTATTGTTTTATAGGTAGATGATAAAGTTAGTAAATCAATCTCATGTTCAATTTTTTCGTTGATACAAATACAATCATCATCTATTACTAATGGACGTATGTTGATTTGAAAATATGTTCGATCAATTCTATGCAGTTGTTCTTCTAGATGACGAATAGATGATGTTAATAAATCAATATCTTGTTTGGTAGTTTCTTGTTCACGAATAAGTTCTGCTACTTTTGATTGTAGTCGATTATATTCTTTTTCTTGTTCTCGAACTTTTCCACTCATACATTCATTAAGTTGTTGATGTTTTAGTTCAAAAAAACGATCGATTTCTTCATGACATTTCACACGCCACTGGTCAAGTTTTTCATAATAACTTTCGTTTGTTTTTTGAATATTTAATGTTTTAAAACGATTACCTAATGCATTAATTTCATCTGCCAAAGAATCTAACTCGGATATTAGTAAAGCATTATGTTCATTTAAATGTTGAAGACATAGATTTTGTTTGCAACAATCGCATAGACCACGTGATGTACGACTGCATTTTACTAAACCACATGGTTGAGACATTTATATATATACGATTATGAATTCTTTGTTCTGCTGAGAAATATAATATGAAGAAATGAAAATGGTTTCTACGCGAATGAAAGTCATAATTATTGGTTGGATTACACCGTTGAAAGTTGATATACCTAGAAGTTAAAATTTAATATAAGATGTCGCAAGAAGAACACTTTCATGACACAAATAAATTGAATAGAAGCCATAAAAAAAGATAAATATTCCGTATTTGATAATTATTTTGTTAATGATATTTACGTTTAGAAGTGGTTTTGCGTTCATCTACTATATGAACTTCTTTGACGTTTTTATTCATTTTGTTCTCCCAAAAAAACTAATCTATCGGAACCATTTATAAATGATTTTAATGAATGGAACATCGTTACTAATGTTATATTCTTTACCGAGCTCAACAATATAATATTGTGATGATCTCAATACATGGCAATTGTTCCGAATATCGAAGAATATTCATAGATGAAGTTATCATTACTTCAGTAAGAAATTCTTGCTTTTTTCATTAAAATTAGGTAGAATTCAAGATTTTATTTTAGCACGGAAGGAACTGATCAAATAACCAATTATATAACTTTTTTTTCACCATTCTAAATGTTGTCACTGTCAGTGCTTGTACAAACACTTCACATCAATAAAACACAGATGAATCAAAAGAATTAATTCATCGATTTAATAGTGCCATCAGCATAAATTTTATTGCCATACACATTTATTTACGATCTCTTTCTACACTTGATACTTCTATATTGATTCGAAAGAATTCTTAGCTCTTTACGACTAATTATATTGTCTACATTCAAATTTACTTTTTAACTAGATCTGTCATACACATCATCAAACAATAAATTGTATAGAATCATCCATGTTTTTTGTACCCAGAGTAATTGATTCATCATTGAGACAACTTTTCTTAGGTGGTCGGAATGTATCATGAATACCAAGCATTTCTGTAAATACTTCGAATAGTATTCATTCAGAATCTTTTTATATCATTCGTTAAAGCTATCAGATTGTAGACTCAATCATCACAAAGAGAAATGAGCAATTGATCAATACTATTATATTGATTTATTCTTCAACTAATATTTACTTTTTTGTTAACTATTTATACACTTCCTGCTTCTAAAATAAATGTATTACATCGTATCTCTTTCTTCTACTAAATTCCTATCACAATAAGAAAATATTGAGTAATTAATTCTAAAAATTACATGAATTTATGTGAAATAACCTTCATGCTGTATTTATCTATATTTCTCTTGAGCGTCACCATTAAAAAACGAATAGCCATGCAATTGTGACTATATCTTTTGATCATAAAAAGTAAAAAAATAACAATAAAAATATAACAGAAAATGAAAATCACTTTACAAACATATATAAAGATAATTAATAATACAAAAAAAAAGAAATAATCTTCTGCTTTTTTGTGTAAAAAAAAAGAAATTTCTCATTGATATTCTTCATTAAGAGCATCATAATAAATATCTTCATCACATGTTATTACATTCGGTTTCTTCCATCTCATTCTTATTCCATTTATAATATGATATGTACGAGCTTTTAACGTATAACAACCTCCATTTGATGAATAATATTTATAGAAAAAATTTGAAAATGAACTTACAGTCTTTTCAAATGTTCGATTTGTAAATGGTTCGAATAAAATTGATAATAAATAAAATATTTGATAAATTTTAAATGTTAAATTCATTAAACGTGCAATTATAAGATGAATAGCAGAAAATATTGATCTTAACATTTGTATCCATCCGTGAACAGTATGAATAATTCGAATTAATGTTTCAATAAATCTTAAGATTTTTCGTGTTATACGATCAATAATTATAAATAAACGAACAATAAATGTTACACTTAAACATAATGAACGGTATGTTCGATGAAGATTAGAAAACAAAGATCGTGAACGAAATTTTGGTTGTGGTTTTTCTAATGGCCAATATTCAGATTTTAAACGATATTTACTAGAGAAAAAAAATAATGATTTATATACATAGATACAATAATAATAAAATGAAATTTTACGATTTAAAACGTGTAAGTAATGACGAACGTTGAAATGGTTTATATTGATATTGCTTTTTTGTTTTGAATAAAGTCATACTTTGATATGATGGTATTCTTGTTTATGTGGTCAGCATGCGAAAAGAACGGGAGAAAATATGCTGGAATGATGAGAAGCAGCCTGTAAACATCAAAATGTATCATAATTTTTTTTCGCCGTAGTCACACTATATATATTAGTAACGACGAAGGACAAAAGAACGTGAAGATGTGTTGACAAATAAGTTACAGGTATGAAGTTGAAAAAATATATATATTCTTATCTATGGCGATGAATTTGTGTGGACGATTAGAATGTTCTTCTTTTATCGAGCCATATTCTTGGTAGAATGTATTCTTTCTTTTGATGTAATATATGTATAATACAATATTTAAATTACGAGAATGAAGAACAAACTTGTCGTCGTTAAGTATTTTTCTTTGAAAGAAAAAGAACACAAAATGAAATGTTATTATCAAAATGAAGAAACAAAGAATTTATTAGAACTATTATGAATAATTATTGACATTCTGTGATAGGTCGACTATCCTATATGACAAACATTTCGTCTTTTATTATCATGCGAAAGGAAAATAGCAAGCGACATGTGATCTAATTTCGTCCCCAATCACGAATACATGTGCTGGTGATGGAGTCGCTAACAAGAATAAAAAATCTATATACAATTCGAACCAATTAAATTTTCTTTCTTTGTCTATAGAAAGAAAAAAATATCTTATGTACTCTGTTAAAAACTATATATATATATTTAATCATCAAGTGAAGCGAAATTGAAATAAAAGGTTTTCTGATATAAATTACTCATATCGTCTATCGCAAAAAAATAACAGATGTAAGCATATAAACTATATTTTGAAGCAAAAATACTGTATCTGCTTAATTGGGTCATGTAGCATATTGTGTTGAATAAGAAACATATACAATATTTGTATAATAAATATCTCGGTTTAGGAAAATGGAAGAATAGGAAAAACAAAAGAAGATAGAATTAATGTAATTGTTAAGGTTCCACATAATATCATATGAGACAGATTCTATTTATTTCGCTAAAAACTACTTACGAGTCTCATGAGAAATCACATGTCATATGTATTTAGCTAAGCATTTTGTTTGTAGTTAATAAGAATTTGTTATGATTTCATTTCCAAGAAAAATTAGAGTCAATTGAAGACATTCATAATCGATTTTGTATTAATAAGTCATTAGATACTCTATTACTAATGCTAAATGATATAAAATATACATTGTACTAATTTCATATTGATAGGTTTTATTAAATGAATAGGAAGAGAATGAAATGAATTGATTATCATCAGTAGTATTCACGAAATTTTGCATATCCAAATATGCTCCAGGAAAATTCTCTATAAACAATTATAGACTTTTTTTCCTTCTGTGCACTTCTAAAATCGATTTTTTTTTCTCGCCTGTTAATTGTGAAATTTGATATAGATTTGAAAAACATGATTAGAAATAAATTAATATAGTTTATAAACAAAAATCAAGTATGAATAATATTTTCGTTTGCAGACACATGGTTGTTTAAATGAGTAATCATTCGTATATTCAATCAGATATCTTTTAATTCTTGTCTATCATGTTGAAGTAATTCATACTACTCAAATTACTAAGTAAAGAATATATATATATATATGCTTATTGTTACACTTGTCGACACGTACAAATATATATATATATATAACAAAAGAATTTTAGATATCAATTAAAAACTTCGATGAGTATTCAAAACTTTCCTTGTGTATTTTTTTTTCTTATTTTTGTTTATTCATGATGTTTTCTTATTGTTCTTTTTTTTTCGTAATTCTTGTTAAACAAAAACAATCGAGAGAAATCTTGCAACGACAAAAAAAAACCAAAACACATGCATGCTTATGATGTTGCAATAGCAGTCGATTGTTCACCTGGTACTGTTCGAATAATGTCTGAATCACCTGGGTCAGTAATAGCAAGAATACCAACACGGAAATATTTACCGCAAGCTGTACCTAATTCAATATTATTTCCACCATAATGATGTACACCAGTTTTAGCTAACATAGCATAATATTCGATTTCACTTTTTCTAAAAATAAACAATAAGAAATAAAATAATTAAAGATAGACAAACAAACCTGATTTGTGGTGTATTAGCTGAGACAAGAATTAATTTGGCTTGTCCATTGCGTAATGCCTTCAATGTTTGACGATAGCCAAGAACATATTTACCGGATTTCATAACAAGTTGGAGACGTTGATTAATTGTCTCAGCTTGTTTTTTCTATATTCATTGAAAGAAATATATAAAAACTAATTGAAAACATGAATTTTTTCACACATACTCCGGCGACTTTTTTTGGTTGTGGCATGATGTTAATTGAAAAATCTACAAAGAGATAAACTTAAAAGATCTTCTCGAACATATAAAAAAATATGAAATGATAAACAAAATCCAATTTGAATGGTAAATGGTATTTTAATGTCATTATATTGATTGGAGTAAAATATCGAATAGGTCTCGACCTCCTTCATACATATATATTCATTTGAGCGGCGCTACAATCGTTAATAAATTGTTTGTTATTTTTTCTAATGTATATATATATATATCAAACAGCATTAAATTCCAAAAAACTAAATGCGTTCGACGAATGAATCAGTAAAATTATATGTTGGTGATTTAGGTGATAATCGTAAATCAGATTTAAATCGTTTATTTAGTAAATATGGAGAGATTTCAACGATATATATTGATGAAAATAAACATTTCGGTTTTGTTGAATTTAAATCTTTGAGTGATGCTAAACGTGCATTAGAACGTACAAATAATAAAACAATAAATGGTTCAAAAATTCGTGTTGAATATGCTAAATCGGATAAAATATCTCGAAATTATCGACGTCCATTATCTCGTGATCGTTCACCAACATCAATTCTCTACAATCATTTACAGGTTTTAATTCAAAACAAGAATAATACTTAGTATTTTTTATGAAATGTTTTTCTCTAGGTAACAGCTAATCGTTTACCATCTATGCAAGCATTTCGTCAAAATTATCATCAACAATATCCATCAGACATGATACCTAACTCTTCGATGTTATCTTCTCGTGGTCGATCTTTAACACCACCATCATTCAAACAAAATTCTCATCTATCATTACGATCACAAGATTTATATTACCATCATCATCCAGCTATGTACAGTGATCCAGCATATTATCGAGCATATAGTGATCCATTTTTAATGCAACGTCTTCCGCCACCTGCTTTCCTTTCTCCAACATCATCATCATCATCTCGTCCATATCGAAATATGTATTCATCTTCTGGTGATATTGATCGTTATACAGGACATCTATCTTCAGTACAACGTTCGAAACGAAGTCGTAGTCGTAGTCGACGCAGGTACGAAAGTAATCAAATCCAAATCGACTTGTTCGTTTGCTCTTCATCTTTTCTTTTCTTCTCATCATATTTATTCATCGGTTCGACTATTTTACAATCGCGTTCATCTTACATTCTAAATTTCTTTTCTTTTTCAAAGCTGACAGTTAATGGAATTTAGATGAAGGTTTGTTTTTTCGTGATCTTCTATAAACATATATATATTAAAAACAAAACTTTTTTATAAAAGGAAAAATCTGTATCATTTTTATCTTTAGAACTTCGCCATCACGTCGAAATCGTTCGAGTCGTGAAAGAAAACATAAACGACGAACATCATCTTCGTCATCACTTCAACAGCAACGTGGACCACGAACACCGCCACTATCATCAACACATCGGTCAAGTAAAAGGTAATAGTTATCTGAGCGAGAAATTCGTATTCGTTGAAATTAGTTTTAATTGTATCATTAAGATACTATTGATGAAATAGAAATTAAATTTTATATTATTCTACTGGTACCATATACTGACATTCTTTCTCTTTACAATTAAATATTCTCATAATCTTGATACTGCTTTATAAATTCCCACAGTGTTATCGATAACATTTTTGCAAAATTTAAATGACCGAGATATTCTCTTTCTCGTAGAGAAGAGTCCAGTACGCATAAATTGTTTGTTTGCTTGTATATCCGCAGGGTCAAAGAAAACATCGACAATCGATTTTTGGGAAAAGACATTTCTAAAGGTATTTCGATCCAGGGACTTCGAATCTAATGTTAGTTTTTTACGAAAAAATGTTTTTTGATATAAAATTTGACGAAACAGTTTTTGAGGTCGGGGAACACGAATGTGATGTTAGTGTTTGCAAGTTATATAAACAAGAGGCCCCGTAGCATTGCAGAACACCATTTCTACGAGAAAGAGCTAAGCAAGTCCTTAGACGAGCGTTACTTGTTATAAATTATGAGATTATAAGGATTAGAATGCAATATGGCTAAGTTTTTTTTATAATCTTCACAGTGCATAATCATGAGTTATAAGATTTTATTTATTAAAGCATTTTTTTGTATACTATAGATGCTTAGGGCAAAGGTGAGGATATCAATTTGTATTACTACAACGAATTAAAATATAATACAGCGGGAAAAAAACAATTTATATGCAGCTTGGAACATTTATGATACTTCTATGCAAGCATTTTAACTAGGTTCTATTAAAGATTATTTATTTTCAGTAGTTCTTATTAAATAGCGGATAGGATACTTTTATTATCTCATTAAAATCTAACAATAAAATCATTCCTACAGTATAATAAGACACCTATTTCATTTAGAAATGCGTAGAGATTATATTTTTTTCCATTATTTTAGAACACGTTCAGGCTCGAATGCCGTTGCTTCGACATCTGAACGAAAATCATCATCAAGTTCATCTTCTGAAGACGAAGAAAAACGATCAAGTTCAAGAAAGTAAATTTGAAAATATTGATTTCAATTTAACATTTATTTTTATAATAGATCTCCAAATGATGAATCAAATCGAAAACATTCAAAAAGAAAAACAAGAGAATGAATATTAAAAATTCAAAAATAATCCTGTTTGCTTACTATTTCACTTGCTAATTACATTTGTGTGTGTGTTTTGTCTATTTCCTATTGAGCATTTGTCATAAGATGGTTCCACTAACTACTTCGTCTTTTGCTTGTTTCATTTTGATAAATCCTATTATTGCGGCTATTATGTATAGTATGAAACTATACATATATTACTTCAATGATATATGATTGTTATTAGTTTTTTTTCTCAAATAAAATGAACTGTGAACATGCATAAATTTATAATTGAAAACTATTTTAAAATTCATATTACGAAAAAAGATTTTGGAATCAATAATCAAGTATATGTAATAATTGACTGAGGCTAGATGAAATTAAATAGAATATATAGTATTTTATTTTGCAATTAAGTTAGTTAAAATATATTAAATCCAATAAAATGAACTATTTAATCTAATATTATTTGAATGAGAAGGAATGCGGCTATCTTCTTAAGCATACGATTCAATATTTTTTTGACATCAAACAAGTTTAACTGCGAATTCTATAGTGAATTGTTTTAAAATTGAAGAAAAGTTACATGACACAAATTGGACTATTTTCTACGAATAATTTAATTTGCTTTCATTAGGATATCATTTAGTTCATTGATGGTTCAAATGTATACATAAAATTGTATCGGTTGTATTTCTTCCATGTAGTGCAAAAGCAAAGCACGGTAAATCGACCCTTTCCGTCGAAATATACTTATATCATTGTCTCTCTTGATTCATACACCAAAAAACGCTTTGGTATTTTTATCTCTATTCCAAAACAATCGAAGATATATAGTAAATTATATTGAACAATATTCATAATCCTTTTCTTAATACTACAACAATTATATTTCAAACGTTATTTTTACTTTAATATAATAAATAATACAAGACAACATCAAAATTGACAACACAAAATATAATCATAATGTCATCTTTTCTTTCTAACACGATCTTTCTATTTTGTTAATTTCAAGCATCATGGTGTTTGCTCTTTGTCGTTCCATTGGTGCATTTGTTCCATTCATGGTCAGCGTTTGTCCATTCGAGTTCATTTCAATGCGTGCATGAAATCGTCGATATATTGAACTATTTTTACCAAAGATACAACCCATCATTTTAATTATTATACAAAGAAATTCTTTTCGATATACACTTCCAGACAGGGTAAATCTATATTTCGAAAAAAGAAAAAATATATATAGTAAATTATACTAAACTATATACATGTAGATCACTTACACATAAAAGCTTGTACTGGCGTTAATATGCACAAATATCCTTAACAATATTGTTATAAAATTTTCAATTGCTACTTGAGTTGCTCCTTTGACTACATTTTGTGTGAATGTAGCATATAACTTTTGAATAGCAATAGGTAATGTTAATGTAATAATACAAATAAATTGTATACATGTCATTTTGAGTAGTTGTCGATCTCGTTTTTTTAACTGACCACTATTTCCATTATTTGTCACTATGGGAGCAACATGTGAACGTGTCTGACGAACATTATGGTAGGTTGCTAATCCAAGAATAATCATAATTATAGGTGGTGTAAAACTAAATGTTGCAAAATAGAAGAAATCATAAAAAACCCGGTAAGGTCCAACTAAAGCATAACAATACGGGCCAGTTTTGAGTTGTTCAATAGTAAATAAAGCAAGGGCATGAGAATATATAGCGAAACCTATGAATGTTGTTATAGCAGATATATAACGTGAATACTTGAGATTGCTTAGTTGACGACGATGTGCATTTCTTGAACTAATACAAAAACGATCAATACCAGCTAAGATAGTAAACCATGATGAAAGTACCATTGAAGAATGAAGAATAAAATAACGAAATCGACAAAGTATCAGATAATTTGAGGCAGGATCAATACCAAAACCATCAGAAAGAGAACGTAAAACTAGACCAAAGAAGAGATCGCCAAAATTGGCGAATGATGCGCAGATAAAGTAAGTTGAACATGGATTTTTTATAAGGAGAGGGCGTGTAAAAATTAGAATGTTGAAAATGTTTCCAATACAGCCAAGAATAAATATTGGCAGTGGTGCATATCGACTGAATTGAGCACTAATAGTGTTGATTAAGCTGGCAGCAGACATTCTTAAGTACCTATTCTCTATAATGAGAAGATAAAAAGTATTAGTGAGTGCTGTGAGACATGTTAATAAGTCAACATGTTATATAGTTTACTTCTGTTTACAGAATATACATAATTCGGTAGATTATTTTGTAGCAAGATATGACAAAGAAAGGAAAACTTTTTGTATCATCATCATCGACGATGATAGTTTAGTACAGTAATATGGAAGATTGTTTCGACAAGTACAAATTAGGTATACTCACCTACATCTCTAAGAAATAGTTTGTTCATACAATTAAATGAAATAGGAGAAATATACTAGGAAACTTTTAGAATACACTGTATATGAATTATAACTATTCTTTTAAATCATAAAAAGGAATAGTTTGATCTTAGATAGGAAAAGTTATCGAAAAAGGAAAAAACTGATACTAAGAAAACGCTTGAAAGAATTTTCTCTATTTATTTTGTTTTATTATGAAATGAAAAAAAAACAAAATATCCTATCATATTATATAAAAATAGTATGCTAATAGAAAAAAAATAGGAATGCTTTTATTCATTTCTCTCCTATGATAACCTAGTTTCTTCCAAGAATAATTCTTGGCGTCAGAAATATTATTCAAATAAGATTAAAGTCAAACATAAAGCAGAAAGTAGTGTATTAATGTTTTTTATAAATTCATGTCACATAAATATCATATGATAAAAGTCATGAGGTTTCAGACTGAAAAATTAATTAAAATAGCTGTAAATTATTTGAATTTACAAAAAATAATTAGAAAATAAGAAGATAAATATTAGTGTCTATTGATAGAACTAATCTGTTTAGAGCATTACTTCTGTAAAAAACTCGTGAATTGTATTTTCTAATAATAGTGTAAATAATAAAAAAATATGAAACAGATTTTCTATGTCATAGGTGAATAATATGGAATAAAAAGTAGACTAAAACCATCTATAAGTAGTATGGGCAAAGTGAAAGAGAATAAAATCTGATTATGTTAGCAAAGCTTTTCAGTAATATCTATGATTTGAACTCGAGTATTCAAACTTTTTTCTCATGATGAACTTCATCAACTCTTTTCTGCAAAAAATAACATGTTGATGTTAATTATGTATTATAATCAAAGAAAAACAAACAAATTTAAATGAGAAGGAAATGGAGAAAACACATTATAATATTAATAGTAAAAGAGAGAAATGATTACTAATATAAACTACTTTTAATATTTTTGAATAGAAGTCTCATTATTTATGCTTTAATGATGATGAAGTACCATTTTTGTTCTATTCATAATACAGGTTGATGACGTTATCTTTAATACTTTTGTCTAATTTATTCTATTTATCTGAAACACTGAAATTTTCTTATTTTGATACCGTTGGATAGAGCATCTGGTACTCTATCGAATTATATAGTTTACGTTTTATGTTATTCAGCACTAATCTAAAAACTTTTTGAAGTAGCATACGGTACGTTTAATTAAAAACAAAATATATCAGAAGATGCAGCGTCAAAACCTCGACAATATGTACGATCAAGCGTATATTAATTGTGCATTCTTTTATCGGAATAGAAGATTCTTTTTTCTAATTTCGTATTTTTGTCACATAAAATGTCTTTGTAGAAACAGAGAAATATATCAGAAGATGCGGCGCGAACAGTTCTGCAATTTACACATTAAACCTTTTTTTTATAATTGTGAAACAAGGTAAAATAATGCTGTAAAATCAATTTTCTCGCATTCGAAATTTGGCTGCTTAAAATATTGTCAATTTTTTTAGAACAAAACTAAAAGTAAAAAACAAATGGTTCCATGTAAGTTGTAGAGTTTTTCACGCTGCATCTTCTGATACATTTTGTTTTTAATTAAACGTACCGCATGCTATTTCAAATTCTTTTTAAGTTGTCTTCAGAGATTAACAAAAGTTTTTGGACTAGTACTGATTTACATAAAATGTAAACTATATAATTCGATAGAGTAGCCGCTGCTCTATCCAGCGGTATTAAAATAAGAAAATTTCAATGTTTCAGATAAATAGAATAAATTACACAAAAGTATTAAAGATAACGTAATCAGCCTGTAAATGCTGATTCGTTAGATGAAGTTGCAATAATAAATTGAATTCATCCTTACAACTTACTATTTTCACCTAATAAGCATTCAATGAGTTTAATTATCAATTGACTAAATTCATATGGAAACCTACTGCGAGAAAAAATAGACCTAGAAAAATGAATTTTCATAAATTAAGGAAAACACTTCTTAACCTATACATAAAAACTTGCAGTAGAGTTAATATATATATAAATAATCTCAACACTTTCAATATGAAGTTTTCAATTGGTACCTGATTTTGTGTGTGCGTAGCATAGAATAACTTCTGAAGAACAATAGAAAATGTCCAAATAAATTGTATAAATGTCATTTTTATTTGATGATCTAATCTGTCTTATCGTTTACAAATTAAAATAGGAGCCCTCTATTATGTGCATAAAAAAAAGAATATTTTCTTGCTACTATTAACTGTGTGTTTTTTCAGAAGTCTTTCAACGTTCATTATATTATTTTTAAAGGATTAATGAACTTTTTGACAGCATTACAGTGAAGTAAAATCGATATTATAATAAAAGAAAATTTCATAAAAATTAGCATTTTAATTATTAAATGTGAAAAGTCATGTAAAATATGGGAGTATTTTTCACAGAATAAAACAAATCGGTCGTAAAATAATATAATTTTATACAATCAAAACGGAAAAAAGTTTACTTTATACACATGTCCTTCAAGCTAAACTGTGTATGTCGGAGTTTCATTGTTGAACCTATAATTTCAGTGCAATCTCCATTGGTCATAAATTAGTCAATTAGACGATTTGTCACTTAACTGTTACTCTCAATTCGTCCTATCTCAATTTATTCCGAATTAGTTACCAGATAACTTTAATATACTTAAAAAGTTATGTTTTTTCATCATAAAGTTCTATTTTACAAAAATACATTGATGTCCATTGTCATTTTGAACGTTTCCACTACGTTCACACAATGTGAATCAAAGCATAACAAGTCAGATACAGTGAAACCAAGAAACTATTTATTAAACTTAACCGACGCCCTTCACACACGAAATAGCGGATATTTATATTACACATTTTGTCAGTTGGGATATTTCCATATATATCTTAATATTCAGAGAAAATACCTGAGCAATCACATACAGAAGAGAACAATGGAGAGAAATAATTATACCTGGTAATATACGTACATGTATGTAAGAAAGAAAAAGAACGAATATTTATGTATAACACGTCCTTTTTACGATATATGATGTTACTTTCAATATACAGTGATAATAGTGGCTATTGAGCAAAGTTAATCGTATTTAAGACTTTTCAGTCATAGATCAAATTGATTGATAGTTAGAGAAGAATCAAGATAGGACGAACTCAGAATCAATTTTAAATATCAAAAAGAACAGAAAAACAAACTTGTGAAGTGTAGTAAAGAAACATATAAGGAAATAGCGAGTACTAACAGAATAGAAAAACAGAATAATCAACCATTAGAAGGGGGATCTTCTAATGTGTCGCCGGCTTTAGTATGTTATTTGTCACCACAGGAACAATATATGAACGTGTCTGATGTATATTATAATATGTTTCTAATTCAAAAGTACCCATAACCATCGGTTGTGTAAATGTAAATGAAGCAAATTAGACCGAATAATAAAAGATTGGGATACATCGACTAATTTGAAGAATAGTATTTGTCACAATACTTGCATTTGATATTTCTAAGATGTTTTAGATAAATTATAAGATGATCAAAAAAGCCGATGAGGCTCATATGAATTGTGTAATAAAATAACAGGAGAGCGAAATATCTAAATAGTTCGATCAAAAGAAACGTCACAATAAATTATATTGAAAAACTACCATATTTAACTCTCCAGTATAATTTATTTTTCTAGTTGGTTACTTTGTATTTAGAGATCAAGTTTTATGATAAAACAAAACTAGTGTATATGTAAAGCTGAAATATAACGTCAAATAAAAACACATTGGTATATAACTTACAAATGAAATATTACCATAGTTTCCTGAAGTTATGCATACATTTATTCTATTGTGAAAGTAGTTTATTGCCACACATTTTCATTTCTAGAACAATTATATTCGCAAACTTCATGTTAACGAATAACTATTTTAATTTGTAAAACTCTAAAGTACTAATTGCTAATGCTACTATTTGAAAAAATGGAGTAAAAATTCGATAAATACAGTGATCTTCAGTAACATAAAGATGAATTTTATCTAATAATTAGCAGAAAACATATACTATTTTGGAATAACCTTTATTCTGTTTACATTATCACTTAATCATACTAAAAATTCGTTGCAAGTATCATATTCTAACTGATACTTTTTTTCAACATTTCAGTTTTATATTATTTTCTAAAATATTCTACTTCATAATGAATCTATTTCTTTTGAACAGTTTTAAGAACCATCAAAAGTTCAAACTAATCGTACAAATAAGTATGTTTCACATATATGTTTTTGAGTCTCAGAATATTTCTATATAATTTAGGGCATTATATTATCAATATCACTAACAAAGAATTTCAACTTTTTCTTCCAGTATCCTTTTTTCAGTATGTCATTTCCACCAAATGTATTGAAACGCATACACCTTCAAGATTTATCGTCTTGTTATTAATGATAGAAGGAATATCTTCCAAATGTTATTTTTATTATGATACAACAAATAATACAAAACAACATCAAAACTTAGAACACTAAAATATAATCTTGATGGCATACATGTCATATTTATTTTTTCTAACACGATCTTTCTGTTCTATTTACATCAAGCATCATAGTATTTCCTCTATGGCGTCCCGTCGGTACATTTGTTCCATTCATGATTCCTGTTTGTCCACCTATGCTCCTTTCAAACTGCCCGTGGAATCGTCGATATATTGAACTATGTTTACCAAAGATACAACCAATCACTTTGCTTATAATACCAAGAAATTCTTTTCGATATACACTTCCAGATAAAGTAAATCTATATTTTCAAAAAAAAACAAAGATATTTACAGTACATTATTTTCAACACAATATATATGTAGATTACTTACATATAGAAACTTGTACTAGCATTAATATAGACAAATACTCTTAACAATATTGTTATAAAATTTTCAATTGCTACTTGAGTTGCTCCTTTGACTACATTTTGTGTGAATGTAGCATATAACTTTTGAATAGCAATAGGTAACGTGAGTATAACAGTACATATAAATTGTATACATGCCATCTTTAGTAGTTGTCGATCTCTTCTTTTTAATTGACCAGTATTTGCGTTATTTGTCACTATGGGAGCAACATGTGAACGTGTCTGATGCACATTATGATAGGTTGCTAATCCAAGAATAATCATAATTATCGGTGGTGTAAAACTAAATGTAGCAAAGTAAAAGAAATCATAAAAGACTCGATAAGGTCCAGTTAAAGCATAACAATACGGGCCAGTTTTGAGTTGTTCAATAGTGAATAAAGCAAGAACATGAGAATATATAGCCCAACCTACAAATGTTGTTATAGCGGATATATAACGTGAATATTTGAGGTTGCTTAGTTGACGACGATGTGCATTTCTTGAACTAATACAAAAACGATCAATACCAGCTAAGATGTTAAACCATGATGAGAGAGCCAATGAAGAATGAAGAAAAAAATAACGAAATCGACAAAGTGTCACATTATATGAAGCAGGATCAACGCCAAAACCATCAGAAAGAGAACGTAAAACTAGACCAAAGAAAAGATCACCAAAATTGGCGAATGATGCGCAGATAAAGTAAGTTGAACATGGATTTTTGATAAGATTTGGACGTGTAAAAATTAGAATATTGAAAATATTTCCAGGAACACCAAAAATAAATACTGCGAGTGGAGCAAATCGACTAAATTGAAGAGTAACAGCGTTAATTATGGTTGCAGCAGACATTCTTAAGTAGTTATTTTCTAAAATGAAAAGATAAGAAGTATTAGCGAGTGTTGTCAGATATATGGCTGAAAGTCAAAATGTTAGATAGTTTAGTTCTATTTACAGGATATACGCAATTCGTTAAACTGTTGTATAGCAAACTATGATATGTACAGTGTATCTGAAAAGTGACTTCCTAAAAGTTCTGTAGTATATCTTTTCTATTTCATATAAGTATATCAATAATTTTTTTATAAATTGTTCGTTAATGTACTCAACTTTTATTTATCAAAAAGATCTTCTATATTACTATGCAAGACTATTATCTTGGATGATTATCGAGAAATTTTGCTTTATTTTAATTTCAGAAAAACCATCTGTATCGTATTTTCTTTGATTATTTCGTAGTTCTCTGGTAGCTTTCTACAGATTTTATTTCAAAGAAAAGATTTTGAATCTTTTCAATATACACATTTTTTTATAACTCAACAAACTGTATTTACCTACATGCAAATATAAAAGAAAAAACCTTAGTCCATTTCTCAGTTATCCGCATCTTTAAAAGAAAGGAAAATTTTCAGTATCATCGTTGAAGGTAATAGTTTTGCACAATAATATGAGAAATCGTTCCGATAAATAAGAATTTGGTATACTTACCTACATCTCTAAGAAATAGTTCGTTCGTACAGTTAAATGAAATAGGAAAAATATACTAGGAAACTTTTGGAAAAGAACTTTTAGAACACACTGTATATAAACTATAACTATCCATTCAAATCATAAAAAGGAATAGTTTAATTTTAGCCAGGAAAAGTTATCAAAAGAGGAAAAAACTGATACTAAGAAAACACTTGGAAAATGTTCTCTATTTATTTGTTTTATTATGAAATGAAAAAAACAAAATATACTAAGAGTTTATATAAAAATAGTGTGCTATTAGAAAAAAAAAGGAATGCTTTCATTTATTTCTCTCCAATGATAACCGTGTTTCTTCTAGGAAAAACTTCTGACGTCAAGAACATTTTTCAAATAAGATTAAAATCAAACATAAAGCTGAAAGTAATATATTAATATTTTTTATGAATTCATGTCAGATAAATGTCGCATGATGAAAGTCATGAGTTTTGAAATATGAAACGCTTTTAATCTCCATCATCAAATGAAAGTTAATTGAAATAGTTATGTATTGTTTGCACTTATAAAAATAATTCGACGGTAAGAAGATAAATATTAGTGTCTATTGATAGAACTAATCTGTCTATAGCATTACTTCTGTAAAAAAACTCGTGAATTGTATTTTCTAATAATAGTCTAAATAATAAAAAAATATGGAATAGATTGTATATGTCGTAGGTGAATAATATAGAACAAAAAGTAGACTAAAACCATCTATAAATAGTAGGACCAACGTAAAAGAGGATAAGATCTAATTACGTTGGCAAAGTCTTTCAATAATATCTATGATTTGAACTCGAGTATTCAAACCTTTTCCGTCGTAATGAACTGCAACAACTCTTTTCTGTAAAAAATAACATGTTGATGTTAATTATGTATTATAATCAAAGAAACACAAACATATTTGAATGAGAAGGAAATGAATAAAATATATTCTAATATTAAAAATAAAACAGAAGAATGATTACTAATATAACTCACTTTTAATATTTTTGAGTAGAAGTCTCGTTATTTATATTGTAAATGATAATGAAGTATTATTGCTGTTCTTTTCACAGTACCTGTTGATTCTGTAGACGAAGTTCTAATAATAAATTGAACTCGTCTATACGGCTTACTGTTTTTACTAAATAATCATTCAACAAGTTTGATTATTGATTGACTAAATTGATATGAAAACCTACTGCGAGAAAAAATAGGGCTAGAAAAATAAGTTTTCATAAATTACGGAAAACGTTTCTTTACTTACACTGGAGTTAATAGATACAAATACTCTCAACACTAGTACTATGAAGTTTTCAATTGATACTTGATTTGCATCTTTTACTAGATTTTGTGTGAATGTGGCGTATAGTAACGTCTAAATAACGATTGATAATGCCAGCATAACAGTACAAATGTCATTTTTAGATGATTACTTGTTATTTTATTTGTCGCTACAGGAACAATATATGAACGTGTCTGATGTATATTATAATATTTTCCTAATCCGACAGTACCTATAACTATGGATGGTGTTAAAGTAAATGAACTGAATTAGACCGAATAATGAAACATTGTGATGCATCAATTAATGTGAAGGATAATATTTATCAGATTATTTGCATTTGATATCTTAAAATATTTCCGATAAATTATAAAATGATGAGTCTCATGTGAATCCTGTAACAAAATCACAGGACAGCAAAATATGTACACAGTTCAATCAAAAAAAACGTCAAAATAAATTATATTGAAAAATTACCATCTTTAACTGTTCAGTATAACTTCTTTAGATAGTTTGATTACTTTGTATTTAGAGAACAAGTTTTATAATAAAAAAAACTAGTCTATATGTAAGATTGAAATATAATGTCAAAGAAGCACATGGGTATATATATATGTAGAAGGAAATTAAAGACATTTATTATCTGAAAATATTTGTATATTAGGATACTTTACCAGTTAAGTATTAGAATGATTTATTAAAGTTGAATGTTACACATATATATATATTCGTTTCAAATATTATATCCTAACTGATATTTTTTCCTTCATTTCACTTTTATATTATTTTCTATAATAGTCTACTTCATAAAACTTCAATTTTTTGCTCTAGTATCTTCTTTTGAGTATGTTATTTCCACTAAATGTATTGAAACGCATACACTTTCAAGATTCATAATCTTGCTCTTAATGGCAGAAGAAATATCTTCCAAATGTTATTTTCATTATGATACAACAAATAATACAAGACAGCGTCAAAACTTAGAACACAAAATATAATCTTAATGTCAAACATCTAATATAGTCTTTCTAACACGATCTTTCTATTCGTTAACTTCAAGCATCATGGTATTTCCTCTATATTGTCCCACTGGTGCATTCGTTTCATTCATGGTTACTGTTTGTCCATTTATGGCTACGGTGTTTCCATTGAAGCTCCGTTCAATTCGTCCATAAAATCGTCGATATATTGAACTATTTTTACCAAAGATACAGCCAATCATTTTAATTATTATACAAAGAAATTCTTTTCGATACACACTTCCAGATAAAGTAAATCTATATTTTCAAAAAAAGAAACAAAGAGATTTCTAATACATTATTTTCAACACAATATATATGTAGATTACTTACATATAGAAACTTGTACTAGCATTAGTATATAAAAATACTCTCAATAATATTGTTATAAAGTTTTCGATTGCTACTTGAGTTGTACCTTTTACATCATTTTGTGTGAATGTAGCGTATAGCTTTTGAATAGCAACAGGTAATGTTAATGTAATAGTACAAATAAATTGTAAACATGTCATTTTGAGTAGTTGTCGATCTCGTCTTTTTAATTGACCATTATTTCCATTATTTGTCACTACAGGAACAATTTGAGAACGTGTCTGACGAACATTATAGTAGGTTGCTAAACCAACAAAAACCATAATTATAGGTGGTGTAAAACTATATGTTGCAAAGTAAAAGAAATCATAAAAAACTCGATAAGGTCCAACCAAAGCATAACAATATGGACCAGTTTTGAGTTGTTGCATAACAAATAAACCAAGAAGATGGGAATATATAGCGAAACCTATGAATGTTGTTATAGCAGATATATAACGCGAATATTTGAGATTGCTTAGTAGGCGACGATGTACATCTCTTGAACTAATACAAAAACGATCAATACCAGCTAAGATACTGAACCATGAAGAGAGAGCCAATGAAGGATGAAGAATAAAGTAACGAAATCGACAGAATGCTAGATTATTTGAAACAGGATCAATGCCAAAACCATCCGCAAGCGATCGTGGGACTAGACCCAGGAAAAGAACATTTAAATTGACCAGTGATGCACAGAAAAAATAAGTTGAGCATGGATTTTTGATAAGATGTGGACGTGTAAAAATTAGAATATTGAAAATGTTGCCAGGAACCCCAAAAATAAATACTACGAGCGGTGCAAATCGACTGAATTGAAGATTAACAGCGTTGATTATAGTTGCAGCAGACATTCTTAATGGATATTTTCTAAAATGAAAAGATAGGAAGTATTCGGGAGTGTTGTTAGATATATGTTGAGAAGTCAACATGTGATATAGTTGACGTCTGTAAATAGAATATGTTTCATTGAGTAATCTGTCTTGTAGAAAAATATGACATATTGGTGTGGTGCAATTATTCTTTCAGGTCATAAAAAAAAGGATTTTATTTTAGACATAAAAAGATTAATATTAATAGAATGCTTTAAATAATTTCATCTCTTAATTTTGTTCTATTATAAAACTGAAATAGCAAAACGTCATACGACTATATATGAAAATAGTATATTAGGACAGAGAAAACTTTAGCAACGTTTTTACTTATTTTTCTTCTATAACAACCTAGTTTCTTCTAGTAAAAATGCCTTATGTCAGAAAAATTATTCAAATAATATCAAAATAGCACATAGGATAATCGTCAAGCGACACGTTAATTATTTTACGAAGTTTAATGTCAAATGAATGGCGTATGATAAACGACATGAATTTTGTGACATAAAACAGTTTTACCTTGCATCAGCGACTTAAAAACTAACTAAAAAAGCTAAAAACTCTTTAAATTTCTCAAAATACTTTGAGCGTAAAAATATAATTGCTAGTATTTATCGATAGTACTAATCTATTAAAAGCGTTACTCTCTCACTAAAATCATGACTAGTATTTTTTAATAATAATAAAAAAGATAAAATAGGTTGTATATATCATCGATGGATAATATGGAATAGAAAAAGAAAGAAAGAATAAATCTAACTAGTTGAATCAAATTATAAGAAAATAAGATCTAACTGCGTTGTCAAAACCGTCCAGGAATATCTATAATTTGAACTCGATTATTCGAGCTTTGTTTTTATTATAATAAACTTCATCAACTCTATTCTGCACAGATTAGATGTTAACCGTAGGTATGTATTATAATCAAACAAATACTAACAAAATTGAATCACAAGGAAATGGAAAAAGTACATTGTAATATTAATAGGAAAACAGAGGAATGATTACTGCTATAAACTCCTTTTAACAGTTTTGAATAGAAGTCTCTTTATTTTATTTTAATGATGATGAAGCATTGTTGCTGCTCTACTTATATCATCTACTGGTTCTGTAGACATGCTCCAATAATATATCAGTGATGCCATGGCGGCGCGGCACTGGCAATCTATTTCTGTTTACCGTCGCAGCACGGCAAGTGAAACTTGTTTTTTTCATCATTGTTTTCCGACGCGGCAATCATTGAGTTTTTCTAAAGTTTGTTTTTTATTTGTATCGAAAAACTCTATAATCTTGGAAACTATAGTTACATCATGATTCAGTTTAAAAAGAATCTGCTTCTTTCAGCACTTTTGAATGACTATATTAATTGCATCACCACAATTAAGTTTATTTCCATTTCGTCGCTGTGGTGGTGCAAAATCAGTTTTTTAAACATATCCGTTCTCAGACAGTCATTACTTTCACTAAATAAGCATCCAACAAGTTTCATTATCAATTGACTAAATTTATATGGGAAACCTACTGTGAGAAAAAAAGAAACTAGAGAAATAATTATTTATAGATTACGGAAAACTTTTTTTTACCTACACATAGAGACTTTCAATAGCGTTAGTATATATGATTATTCTCAACAATTGTGTTGTGAAGTTCTCAACTGTTACTTGATTTGCATTCTTGACTGCACTTCGTTTAAATATAGCATATAACTTTTGAATAGCAAAAGATAATGTTAATATAACAATACAAAACAAATCTCGTCATTTTAATTGACTACTGTTTGTGTTATTTTTTACTACAGGAATAAAATGTAAATGTGTCTGATATCTATTTTCATATGCTGCTAATTCAACAATAACCATAATTATTGATGATGTAACAAGAAATTTTGCATAGTGAAAGAAATCATAAAAGATTCGATAGGTTTCACTTTGAGTATAACAATATGTTTCGCTTTCCACTTATTTAGTAGTGAATAACTGAATAACATGATAATAATGTTAATATTTAAGATTACTCAGTTGACAACAGTGAACATTTCACTAACTAACACGACGACTATCAATACCAGCTAAGATAGAAAACCATGAAGAGAGAACCATAAAATAATAAAACCGTTAAAACTCTAGATATTTTCACTATTGAAACGGATCAATGAAATTAAAACAAGAAAAGTGAACTTATGTATTTTATATTCCAGAATAATTTTCTATGATTTATAACATTATATTATCATTATCACTAATAAAGAATTCCAACTTTTTATCAAAGTATTTTCTTTTCAGTATATCATTACCAATAAGTATATAGAGATATCCATACGGTCAACTTCATACCTTCACTAGAAACATTTAATATTGAATTTATGCCGTAGTTCGATGTACTTCAGATGTTACATTGATACATTTTAAACGCATGAAAATATTATATACATTTCATCTAAATGGTTACATATCCGAAAGAATTCTTTATTTGAAGTTAAGTTCTTTCAAAAAAATATTTCAATATTTCATAATATTACAACAATTATGTTTGAAATTTTCTTTTTTATTATGATACAAGACAACATCAAAATTTACAATACAAAATATAATCATCATGTTATATCTGAGATTTTTCTTTGTTATACGCTCTTTCTATTCTGTTAACTTCAAGCATCATGGTATTCGTTCTGGATCGTCCTGTCGTTGCAATCGTTCGATTCGTCGTTACTGTTTGTCCACCCATGCTCATTTCAACTCGTACATGAAATCGCCGATATATTGAGCTGTTTTTACCAAAGATACAACCAACCATTTTGCTTATTATACAAAGAAATTCTTTTCGATACACACTTCCAGATAAAGTAAATCTATATTTTCAAAAAAATAAACAAAGATATTTCTAGTAGATTATACTAAATAATATATATGTAGATTACTTACACATAGAAGCTTGTACTAGCGTTAATATAGACAAATACTCGCAACAATATTGTTATAAAGCTTTCAATTGCTACTTGAGTTGTACCTTTTACATCATTTTGTGTGAATGTGGAATATAATTTTTGAACAGCAATAGGTAATGTTAATATAATAACACAAATAAATTGTAAACATGTCATTTTGAGTAACTGTCGATCTCGTCTTTTTAATTGGCCAGCATTTGTGTTATTTGTCACTACAGGAACAATATGTGAACGTGTCTGACGAACATTATGGTAGGTTAGTAATCCAAGAATAATCATAATTATGGGTGGTGTAAAACTAAATGTAGCGAAGTAAAAGAAATCATAAAAAACTCGATAAGGTCCAACTAAAGCATAACAATATGGACCAGTTTTGAGTTGTTGCATCACAAATAAACCAAGAAGATGGGAATATATAGCGAAACCTATGAATGCTGTTATAGCAGATATATAACGTGAATATTTTAGATTGCTGAGTTGACGACGATGCACATCTCTTGAACTAATACAATAACGATCAATACCAGCTAAGATGGTAAACCATGACGAAAGAACCACAGAAGGGTGAACCATGAAATAACGAAATCGACAAAATGCTAGATTATTTGAAACAGGATCAATACCAAAACCATCCGCAAGTGATCGTGGGATGAGACCGAAGAAAAGAACATTTAAATTGGCCAATGACGAGCAGAAAAAATAAGTTGAACATGGATTTTTGATAAGATTTGGACGTATAAAAATGAGAATGTTAAAAATATTTCCAGGAACCCCAAAAATAAATACTACGAGTGGTGCTAATCGACTAAATTGAAGATTAACAGCGTTGATTATAGTTGCAGCAGACATTCTTAATGGATATTTTCTAAAATGAAAAGATAAGAAATGTTGGGGAATGTTGTGAGATATATGTTGAAAAGTGAAAACGTTATATAGTTGACGTCTGTAAATAGAATATGTTTTATACAGTAATTTGTCTTGTAGGAAAATATGACATATAGATGTAGTACAACTATTTCAACTTATAGAGTAATTTGATTTGAGAAATGAAACTACATCAAAAGAAAAAAACGTTGATATTAAGAAAACGCTTAAAACAACTTTGTCTTTAATACTGTTTTATTATAAACTTGAAATAGTTAAATGTCATACAACTATATATATGAAAATAGTATGTTAGCACAAACAAATTTATAGGAATGCTTCTCTTATGGCCACCTACTTTCTTATGATCAAACGCCTTTACGTCAGAAATATTATTCGAATAAGATTAAAATCGTATATAGGGTAAGCTCCAAATAACGCATTACTATTTATTACGTAGTTAGATGTCAGCCAAATGGCGTATGAGAAATGACATGGATTTTGAGAGATAAAACAGTTTTAGTTTTCATCATCAAATGAAAATTAATTGAAATAGCTATGCATTATTTGATTTGAGAAAAAAATAATTCTAAAGTAAGAAGATAAGTATTAGTATTTATCATTAGAGTTAATTTATTAAGAGCTTTACTGTTTCACCGAAATCATAAATTGTATTTTTTAATAATAATAAAAAAGATAAAACAAATTGTATATATCATAGGTGAATAATATGGAATAGAAAAGTAAAAGAAGAATATCTCTAACTAGTGGAATCGAATTGTAAGAAAATAAGATCTAATTACGTTGACAAAATCTCTCAGGAATATCAATGATTTGATATTGAATATTCAAATTTTTTCTTTTCATCATAAACCAGGCCTACTCTTTTCTGCGCAAATCAGATGTCAATCTCAAGTATGTATTAGAATTAAATAATCATAAACAAAATTAAATCATAAGAAAATGAATAAAATGCATTAGAATATTAAAAATAAAACAGAAGAATGATTACTATAAACTACTTTTCATATTTTTGAGTATAAGTCTTATTATTGCTGTTTGTTTCATACTACTTACTGTTTCTGTAGACGAAAGTTGCGATATTACACTGAAAGCCAGTTTGAAATCCAGTGCTCGCTAATAAAGTAATGTCCAATGAATATTTTCTAAACTAATATGACAATGAAACAAAGAGAAGAAGATCTGACAAAGACAAAACATGATATTATAAGTTAACACGAATGATAACATTGAGTAAATAAGTTTTATAGAATCTTATTAATCTATTGAATCTCCAACGTGATGTAGTAATTAACTGTAATTTATTCATATGAAATACTGCTTATCGTAATTGATAATAGTTCATTGAACAAAAAACACAATAGCATAGTTTTTCATACTAATCCAGCTTTCAGATTGTTTTTGAAAACATCTTTGATTTTAAGTTGTATGTAAACCTTTACATAATTGACATAGAGCTGCTTCTTTTTGACGTACGAGCATGTGCTCATCTAATGTAACTGAATATGAAAGAACATAAGCTCGACAACGATCATTTAATACATGCATAATCCTAATTAATTTACTGAATCGATTATGTAAATAAACATAGAAATTATATTCATCGGTTAGACGTTGAAAAGGAGTAAAAAATAATTTGTTATTTGATGTTGTTCTTGATGAAAACTAGAATTAATTTCAAATTCTAACATTCATATTCTTCAGCATATAGCTGTATATATATATATGACCATATTTATTCAAAGTCAAGATGATTTAATAAATAATTACTAAAAGTTACATCCTAATCAAACATCTAATGATGTACAAGGTAATTTATGTTCATATTGCATGCTTCCTACAGTTAAATAATATCATAAAATATTGATCTATTAACAGATACTTGATGTTTATGATTACTTTTTTTTATTATACGATTTTGAATTTCTACTCATTTATGATCATAATTCAATAGATCGAAATCTAACGTATACACGCTCTAAATGAACATGTACTCGATTCATTCCTACTCATCATTAAACTGAATTCAATTCAATATAAACATTAGTAATACGAGCGCAACATCTCATAACTCGATTTCAGCAATTATATGATACTAACTAAAGATCAAGTTGCTTCTCGAATTATTAAATAATCAAGAGTATTGATATTTTATTAAAATATTCACATCTCTTCACCTTCATCCATTGTTATGCAATGTGTAAAATGCTCACATTGTAAAGAGAAGAACCACAAAATCAAGTCTAAAGCATATATTTCAATATTTACTATAGAAAGAACTGTAATATGTCTATTAAGGATTATAATAAATACATCTATGAGCCAAAATAAATATCTGTAATTATGATGCATTTTCGATAGGTTACTAGGGACATCTATAATACTTTAAAAAAAGGATGAGACTTTTTCAATGAAATGTAGTTGTTAAAAAATTAGATTTTATCGATTTGTCGAATACAAATATAAAGAAAATCTACTTTGTCATTATTGATTGACTATTGGTTATTTTCTCTGAAGTCAACCTTAGAAGAAAGAAAGAAAAATTGACAAATGAGTCATTTATCCAATAGGATAGCAAAGAATAGTAGAGAGAATAAATAATAGACAATACAATAAACAAACAATTACTGACAAAAGTGAGGAGAGAAAGAGAGAAAGAGAATCACTATCTAAATATTCAATTCACTTTTGATAGTAATAGTTATTAAAATATATATAATATCCATATGTTTTACTTTTTCTGATCATTTTTATTCTTCAGTTTTTAGATGTTATTGATAAAATATCCAACACGATGAAACAGAACATCAACATATAGTAATTAGTTTTTATTGATTTTTAATTTTCATTTATCATGTAAATTTCAAGGATAAATCAAAACTATCTTCGACAAATATGGATGCATCAGGTCAAATGCGTGGTTGGTTTAAATTGATCGAAACAATTCGTAAAACAGATCCGCCATCAAATGAAATACTTAAAACATCACCGAACAGTACTATAATAAATACAAATGGACACTTACCAAAATCTCCTGAAACAATTCATATGGATAGTTTTCTACCAGAATCACCAGATCTTATTTCCTCTCCTCCTCAAATTACTTTAGCATCAACACCAATACAATCATTCGATGATACACCTGAAATTCATCCTGAACCAACACCGAAATCAACAGGTAGATAAAGAATCATTGAATAGAAAATAAATATTTCTAGCAAAATAACGAATAGAGTTGTACTTTAGTATACGTTCAAGTGAATATAATTCTCTATGGTGTGCGCATTGTCATTCTATTCTAGTTATAACCTAACAATCATAAAATTAACTAAGATAGTATTGTTTTGGAAACATTTATCTCTTTCGAATTACGATATCACTAAACATTTATATATCCTTTTTCAACCTTTATGATAAAAACCAAAAGTTTTATATTGATAAAAAAATATCATAAACAGTGGGTTAAAGGTTATATGTAATGTCTTTTACAATGTAGACTATTTACTTATGAATGTCCCTGACAGCAAGAAGAATACGATTTATATGAATATCTTATTTAAACGAGTATATATGATACTTTATACATATTTTGACTCTGACTTTCTGGTTATAATATATATTAATTTGATACAACCTTCAAGATCTGATAGTCAAAACAGTAATTGATCGTTTTAATCTGTATACATGATTCGCGAAAGCTGTAGGAATAGACATACATCAAAAGAGAAATCTAGCTTATATCATATTTCTTAGACAAAAACACTAAATACATTATATTTTTGTCGTTTGTCCTATTCAATGATCTTTGCTCTATTGTATTAATTATCGACTTTTTTTTATTCAGCTTCAAAACGTTCATCAACTCGTCATAAAAAGATAACAATTCGTAAATCAACTAGATCTAAAGAATTCTCTTCAATTACTAATACATCCGATGATTCTATTATACATCAACGAACACGACAATCTGCTGATACATCATTAAATATTTCGATTATTCCATTGGCAACTGATCTTCAATCTTTACCTGGACATATTCAAAATGAATTACGTGATCAACGTTTTGTTGATTATTCTGATATTGATACATTATCGATGCATTTAAATACATGTTTATATATTGATAAAAAATCTTTTTCATTATCATCGTTAACTAGACAACATATATTTAAAACACGTCATAATATATTAAATAAAATCTTTAAATTAGATCATATGAAAGCTTCACAAAAAACTTCTTCGAAGAAAAATGAAGAAACACTAAACGGAAATAATTCATCATCATCAATGTCATTTAAAACCGATTGGTCAGTTAATCGTCGTAGTTCATCATCACATCGACATGAACCAAAAAATATTTTTCATATTCTACAATTAAATCCGACAAAACAAATATTTTTAACAACAAATAAAGATTTTAGAAAAAATTTAACAATTGAAGAACAACAAAATATTCATTATGAACAAATGAAAAGTCTTTTAATACGGACATATTATCCACATTTTCATACAGCTATTCAACGTGGTCAATATTTTGGTTCAAAATCAAATATTTTAGTAAAACATCATGATGTACCAATTATTATTAATCCACAATCACCTACAGATATTGATGAAACAATGACAATTAAACTTAATTCACCATTACCTATTCCTCAACAAGAATCACGAAGACGTGGACGGAAACGAAAACATAAGAAAGAGAAAGAGAAAGATAAACCATTACCATTAGCATTTACACAACGTCGTGTAAGTGAAGAAATTCCACCAGTTGTTATTTTAAAATCACCACCACTACCGCCACCGCCATCAATAGAAAAAGAAGTGGATGATAATATGAATAATCGAAAACGTAAAACATCAATGACAATGAATTTAAATATAAGTGAAACAAAGAAAAAGAAGAAAATTATACAACCATTATCACCAGAAATTCTTATCAATGACTATCAAGATGTTTCATATTCGGACAGGTATTAATTAAATCATAGTATTATAATCTGCATACTACATCGTTCATAAATATTTGGCGAATGAAATTTTCTATGACCTAGATGAATGAGAGCGGATATGTAGTACGATTGGTAGTCTTGATTCAAATTTTGCTTTAGTTAATTTTCGATACAGTAATTCAATACGGTTTTGATCTATGTTTGATCATTCCTATTGGAATTTCAATAACAAAGAAAAATCATGCAGTTGATAATTATCACAAAAGTTAATTACGTAGATAGAACTCGTATGAAGCTTCATGTCATTAAGTGTTTTCTTTAAGATTATGCTTGTTTGACTGAATTGTGGATTTAGTGCCCTTATTACCTCACTTTGTCATGTGCTGTATAGATCAATAATGTTAAAACTACTTTATACACTTGCATTGCTTTCGGTAAAGACTTTTCTTTTATTAAATAACTCCTTATGAAATATTTGACTCGAATAAACTATTTATCATTTGATGTTAAATATATAGAGAATTGTTAGTATTAGGTTGTCAAGTTTTTACCTTGAAGTACATTTATATTGCTATTCTAGTGATGATGATATATTACCTGATGAATTACCAAAACAAACTTATATTAAGAATGGCCTTCGTTCAAATTATTATAAAACTACAAGTGATATTGATATCAAATCTAACAGGTTTGTAGCTAATAACATGTTTTTTTTAAACGAAACAGATAACTTTTTCTTTGTTTCACTTTCAGTAATAAAAACCGTCTTTTACGTCAACGACGACAGTCTTTAGGTGCATTACCATCATTCTATACTGGTATATTTCATTCCGAAGATGATAAATTATCTATTATTAACTATCAACTTCCATATGATATTTATTGGTTTAGTCAAAAACAAGGAAATACAATTCTATCACCTTCAAAACCTATTAATCAAAATAAGAAGAAAAAATCCAGTGAATCAAAACAAAAACAACCAGTACCTATTAAAAGAATTATAAATAATAATTATATAGATCCATCTGTTCAATCAAATATTTTATCTTCTAATAAAAAACATATTAATAAAGATTTAATAAAAATGGAAGAATTAACTACTGAAGAAAAACAAATTATTTTACAAACATCTATTTTTCTAAAACGTAATCTTCAACGAATAAAAGACCAAAAAGACTTAAAAGATAAAAATAATAATCAACAAAAACAACAAATAGATGAACAATTACCATCATTATTTTTTCCACAAAATTATTATCATTCAAATACAATAAACAAAACAGATGATTTAAATGAAAACTTAAATATATCTCATAAAGGTAAATATTTTTATACAAAGCATCAGTGTTTTATCTAGTAGGTGGGCGGCGCCAGAGGCGATACCTGAGTAGGGCGGGGGGACAATTTCGGCTCAAAACGATTTTTGAGTCGAGTCGAAGTAGTGCGAAACTATTTTTTCGTTCATTTTTGCTGTAAAAAAATCAAAAACAAATTCTGAAGAGGGCGGGAGGAGAGGGGCCGACTGCTCCCATCGCCCGCCACTGGACGGCGCCCATTCTGAAACGAGACTTAGACAAAATACCGATGAGCGGCGCCCACACGGAATTTTCATTCCGCCCATCCGAAAAAAGAAACCTGGGTAAAATACTGCAAAGCATTAGTATAAAAGCTATGAATTCAGACATCTATATCATATACAATCATTAGTTGATTGTTCGGTATGCGACTGATCTTGAGGGTTTGGGTGGGTGGGTGTGTGAGTATGGGTACTATCCTTTTTACTCTCACTCACATTTTCACCCACACTCTCACCAACATCGACCCACTCCCACGCCCATCCTAATACCCGAGCCCGAGAGGCTGGAGCTCGGTACATCCCTACTCGAGACTTTACATTCTTTATAATCAATTCAAAACTGAGAAGATGAACGTAATACTTCTATGAATAAATATATTTAGATCTACTAAATTTATTTTACAATTATATTCGTCGATCACATTTTGGTAAAACTCGTCAATGTTCTGTTGAATTAATTGATAAAACATGTTATTATGCTCAATTAGCACAATTAACATTAATTTTAAATGAAATATTTGATTTATTATTAAATTATAAATGTCCAAATAGTGATATTTATCCAACAAATGCTTTAAAAAAATGTCCATTAAAACGTTTATTTCCAATGTATTATGAAATTATATCAAAACCAATTGATTTAACAATAATACGTAATAAATTAGATAATGGAGATTATTTTTCATATAATTCATTTGAACAAGATTTATTATTGTTATTTACAAATGCTATTGTATGTTAATTTCTATTTTATTTCAAATAATGAAACTTTTTTTGTTTTTCTAGACTTATTGTGGTGAAGATTCTGATGTTGGACGTGCTGTAAAAGATTTACAAATCTATTTTCTTGATATTTTAAAAATTGAATATCAATCAACAATTGATTTATTTAATAATATGAATGAAGAAAATAAAAATGAAAGAAATTTAAATATTTTAAAAGATTTTATAACACGTTTACACGAGAAAGAAGTTCTCAATGGGCAATGTAGAGAAATTCTTTATGATGCTATTTTTACTATAGATAATTCTTTATCAATAACAATTCCAACAAATACACATCAAACACCAAAAAATACTTTAATCAATAAGTTCATCATACATTGTCGATGTGGTTCTTTTTATGATGAAACTGCACTTGTACAATGTTATGCTTGTCATGTAAGAACATTAACTCCTTAGTCATTTAAATGAGTTTTTCTATTACTTTTGTGATATAGAAGTACCGAAGTACTTATAGAAAGATGAAACAGAGTGTATTTATTATAAGGAAATAAATATCGTCTTTCTCAGGACAAACCCATACAAAAAAAATAATTGTTTTCTTACCTAGAAAACTGCGAAAAACCTTAATAGTATAAATTCTTCCTTTTGAATACTGATGATAAAAATATTTTTGTTTATTTTAGCTATGGCAACATATTTCATGTGTAACAATAACTGATACATCTCGGCCTTATTTTTGTTTTGAATGTCATCCTTTATGCGAACAAAATCCTTCAGATTGTTTAAAAACAAATGTTTGTATTTTGGAAAATAGTCAATCTTCTTATTTAGCTATAACACGGTCAGATGGTTTTATAATTCGTATAAATGAATGTTATTTTGTATCAAAACAAGAAGAAAATCCAACATCATCATCATCACAATATGATATATTTTTTATTGAACGACTTTGGATGGATGAAAATAATATCGGCAAAGCATCTGGATTTTATTATTTACGTCCATATGAAACATTTCATGAGGTTACTCGAAAATTTTATTCAAATGAAGTCTTTCGTTTTCCATCAACAAATGATTCAATTGAAATCAAAACAATTATTCGTCCATGTTATGTATTAGATACGAGCACATTCTGTAAAGGAAAACCAATATGTGAATATAGTAGCCGAATATTATCAACGGATTTATTTATATGTGAATATCGTGTAGATAAATTAGCAAGAACATTTACACGTTTACCAAAAACAAAACATATTGGAATTAATACAAAATCTTATTGTTTTGATAATTATATTGAAAAACTTTCAATCAAAAGAGATTATCAGGTATAATACAAGTTTTATTTCATACCTGAATCTAATCATTATGTTTATACTGAGCGAACCGTGAGGAATTGATCTCCTCAGATAGAGTCCGAGAGTGGGTGTGGGTTTTTTCATCCCGATCCCGATCGTCTCTCGCTCGACAGAAACCCGTCTAAGTCCCGATTCCAGCAAAAAAAATTCCAGGGTTTTTGATACCGTTACCATTTTCTGTGAATACAATTCATCCAGACTTAAAACCCATTAATGTATTTTCTCGGGATTCTGTAGTCTGTATCCCATTTTTAACAGAGATATCCGTTCCGATAGGATTGGGATTGGGTCTGGGAACAAAACAGGGATCAGGATAGTCCCGCAGGCCCCTACCCTCTAACCTAAGTCTCTGTTGAATATTTTGCCCCGTCCCTCCCCCAAGTCTTATAATATCATTGAGTAATCATACATTTGTTTTTTAGCCTCATCAAAAAGAATATTATAATCAACAACAAACTTCTCGTCGACGTTCTACAACTCATCCAACTAAATTAACAATGAAACAATTAGAAGAAAAATCCTCTCATATTGATGGTCTTATCGAAAAAATTTATTGTCGTTTTCATCATCCAGATTTAATTCCAACTGAAGCGAAATTTTCACCTAATCATTTTGTTCAACAAACAACAATCAAAGAAGATATTAATCGTGGTAGTAAACGTTTACGAAATCGAAATCTTTCATCATCAAATATAGTCAATAAAAAGTGTCGAACAAGATCTGTATCATCAAATGATAATCATACTGAAGCTATATCAGATAATAATAATCATCAAGTTGTCTTATCAATACTAGATGAATTAATTGAATCTATATCATCTCATATTGTCTAGTCCGAAAAAAACAAATATTCTTTTTTCGCTTTTTTTTCTTTTTTTGTTTTTAGTTTTATTGAATATTGTAAAAAGAATATGTATATTTTATTATTCGTAATATTGACAATAATTTGTAAATAAATAAATAAAATTTTAGATAAAAAGAAAAGCAATGCATGAATCAACAGGTCGACTTACGAATTCATCATCATTATTATTATCATCGAATGCTAATCGTTCATTAAATATTCATCCACCTAAATTAACTCGTACATTACAACAGGAAAATGCGACAAAAAAATTAAAAATTGGTCATACAAATGGTGTTAAACCAACAGTCGATGGGATTTCAACTGTTCGGAGTTAGTATATTTTTTTTCTGAAAATATTTAATTTAATTTTTGTTTTATCTTAGGTTCAAAAGTTGATACATCTTTAAGATGTCCTTTACGACAAACATTACCAATATTTAAACAACCTGTTACACACTATCCAATTGAACGTGATGAAGTTAAAGCTCAAGTTATTAATCCAAATCATCAAACAATGTCGAATAATGGAGGAAAACCAAGTGAAAAAACTAAACCAAGACAACTTTTTTGGGAAAAACGATTTCAAAATATTCGGCCCATTGATATTGATGAAAAGCCATTTGAACATGTCAAATTACCAGAACCAATTAAAAGTAAGATATTATTTTTCAATTAATAATCAACTAAAACATTTCAATGAAATCATAGAAACAAAAACAACTTATTATAATCTGAAAGCTACTAAATATAGTGCATGACATATAATTCTATATTAATGAAAGTACAAATGCATGATTTCTCATCTTCCCATGATTTATATATCCGATACAAATTTGCTCGTAGATTAAGAAAAATAATGTTCGTAGTATCTGATGTGTATAAGAACTTATGCATTCCCACAACAGTGGCGGATTTAGGTAGGGCGATCGCCCCCACCCCTTGAGAATTTTTTTGATTTTTTCAGCAAAAATAGGTTCACACTACTTCGATTGGGCCCAAAAAATAGTTTTCAGCCGAAATCGCACCCCACCCCTACTCACATATAATCCCTTCCCTTCCAAAATCCTAGATCAGCCACTGAACCACAAATATCATATGATTCGTAATAAGATTACTTTTAATTGCATTTAGTTTGAAAACAATAATATATATCTTTTCTTTCCTTTTCCAGGTGTCGGTCTTAATATGTCGCCAGAAACGGTTGTTATAAGTCTTGCAACATCTCTTCATCTCTATTGCAATTCACGTGCATTATTTGGTCAAAATAAACAATTTCAAAAGAATCCAACAATTTATATTCAACGTGATCAACCATTAATTGATGTTAGTTTTAAGAAAGAAAAAAAAATAAATATCTAATCTTTATTTTTTTTTATTTCTAGTATGTTAATATTACTGATGAACATATTCGTGCTCAAGAAGCAAAAGTTAATGAATTACGTAAACGTATTCAACAAACAATGTGTAAAAATGAAGTTTAAAAAACATTTGTTATATGTATTAAAAATATTTCTCTGTATATAAATGTGAAATGTTTTGGATGAATTCGTAAAATGTATATAAATAAATATAGATCATGGTTCGAATCTAATCGAGAGCATTATTTGTTGTTGCCCATGATGATGTTCTATATCAATGGGAATCTCTCTGAAAATAATATACATGTTGATTTTGATATCCTGAGGCACAACATTTATTTATTATATTGAATATTCTCTCGAAAATAGATTAATATACATATCCTATTTTTGTTTTACTTCAATGAATACTTGCAATACATTCATCTAGATCAATATGTATATAGGAACAAAAGGAATTTCTTGACTAGGATGTTAGTTATATTGCCAAGAATAATTATTCAAGCATATATCTATACTCATGTGATTCGATTATAATTTCTAAAGAATCGACATATAGAATTATAAAAAAACGTGCCTTAGTGCTTTTTTTCGAGCATTGCTGATCGATGAATATTTTTCATAGACATGCGCATAGTATTGCGTTATTAAGGTCATTTCTTATACTGACGTATGAAGATAGGGTGCGTAATAATACACATGAACCCAAAAACTTATTCAGATCACTAGTGTACTCAAACTATTGTTATCAGCTCGTGTTTTGTAGGATAAAAAAGAAGAGTTTGAGTATTTATGATAATACATGTATTCAATATAGAAATCATCAAACAACAATAATAATAATAATAAAAATGAAAATAATTCTTAGTATTTCAAGACACTGTTTTTATCTTTCTCTTCATCGAATTGTTCTAGTTCTATCTCGTAATGCCAACGATTCACTTTGTTTGTCATTACGATGTATATCTTGTTGTTTTTGTGGTGTTGTTTTAGTATATCGAATACGAAATGATTCTTTAAATGGTATTAATTTATAAAAATCATTTCGAAAATCAGTTGAACAAGAGAAATAAATAAAAAATCGAATTGCGTGTGTTGTTGTTGATAAATTTGTAAATAAAAGTGATATTGTACGTCGTAATCTTAATGGTTCAATATATGAACGAAAGAAAGAAAAAATAACTGTTGATGGAAATGTTAATATAAAATAAGATAATGTTATAAATATTAATGATAGAGTTAATTTTCTACTATGTCGATTGAGTGATCTTCCAGGACTTTGTTTATTTAGTTTTCTTGTGGAGGATGATGATGACGTCATTGTCGGTGTTCGTATAGTTTTTAATATTAAAGTTTCTTGTCGGCTTTCTATAGTTTCAATTTCAGGAAGTAAAACAACACGTTGATGACTATTTAATCTTTTTTTACTAGCAAATATAATACGCATTAATAGAGTATTTAAAATTAATAAAACAATACTCGGTAATGCCGAGTAAAGACATAAATGAACACGTTGATACCATAGCATATAATTTGGATAATTCATATTTTGATAACATATAACATCACTTTTTATTGAATGATAACCATTTAACCATAGAATATGTATATTAGTAAGAAAAAATAAACTTGTAATTAATAAACATATGACAATCGTATAAGATCGTTTACAAATAAATTCAAATAAAGTTAATTTTGATATTAACAAATAACGATTCAATGAACCGAATGCTAATACCCAAGATGAGGTTTGTAAAATTGAAAATGCTAAAGAGAAAAAAAGGAAATAAATCAAAGGGTTTCTATAAAGTTGATTAAAAATGATATTTATTACACTTGAGAGATTTTATGATATATATATTTCTTACCTAGATAAGACAGAAAACGACACATAAATAATGAATATTCTTCAAGATTTTTTTTATTAATAATTATATTTATATTTAAATTTTCATTTTGAGAATAATCTGAACTTTGTTTTGTACTATTTATATCTTTATAACGAACCAATTGATAATCAATATTAAATTCACGAACAATATAATTTAAATTAAATGTATATAAAACAATTGTATCAAGTATAGCTAAATAACCAAATACAATTTTAATTGAATTGCAACGATTTGATTTTTGAAAATAAATTAAACAACATATGAGATTACATGGTGTACCAATCAAAATAAGCATAAGAGAATATATAGAAAGTAAACGATCAGCTAAATATGTATTTATACCATTTGGAATAGAATTTATATTGTTGTTTGAATCATTCATCATTAATTTGTCTATGATTGCTCAAGTGAATGATGAGGAAACACAAATGAGTGTCATTCATTTTTTTCTATATTCATACTTATTTTTTCTTTCTTCTTTTTTTTTTGTTTCTTCTTCGTAGTTTTCTCTTAGCATCATCAGTTCTCGCTTATCTCTCTCTCTCACACACACATACTGATGCCATCATTTTCTTTTTTTCTCATGAAACTGAGAAGAAGAAAAAAAATATGAAGGTGAATGAAGCCAACATTAGTAAAATAAAAAACTTAGAATTAAAAAAAATAAATATTTTCTAGCTCAATATTATCTTCCATCAGATAGTAACTATAGTTAACGATATGATCTTAACCTTGTTATCATGTGTTGTCTAAGTGTCAATGTTGAATGCTCACAGCAGTTAATCTATCTTCATTTGATATGAAACATTCCTGTTGGAATCTAACCGCAACTTTATTCAATCGAACAACATTTGCTTATTCGGATAAGAAAGAAGATCTGATGTATACATATATATATATATATAAGCAACATATGATTTTTATCGGTTATCATCTTGTCATATTATATCGAAATGATATATTAGTATTATTTGATTGACAAGACTTCCGATTTATTTCCTTAAAATCTAAATATAAAATTATATTATCTTCATGAAATAACAAATTCATAATATTATTTTAATTTCTAAATAATTTATAAGAATCAAACAAAGCGTTTATTATTGTTTCTGACATGAAATAGATAGTTTATTTTTACTTGAAAACAACCTTGACGAGATATACAGAATTTCAAAGTATATTTATAGAATATATAAACAAGCATCACAACATGAGGAATAAATATGTTGTTTCATTTATTCAATTATACTTATGATTGAATGTGAGGTCATTTTATACTTTGTTCTCTTATATGAACTCGAAAGCCATTCATCAGTAGACTTCTTTTTTTATTATCAAAAAATCATCTACTGCTCGCTTTGTGTTTTATCTTATAACTAGTAAAAGCATTTTGCGACAAATATAGCTTTTTACGTTGATCAATATATCCATTGAGAACATTAATGAACAACAAATCAAACTTGCAGACGTATATGTCAATAAATACTAGAGAAAAAAAAGAATTCTTTACTTTTTCTTTCTTTCGAGAGAATATACTTGATTTTATGATCGAGTATACAGATCATAAGAAAAACTCGACAATATACTCGTCATTCTAATGCAAAAAAATTACTTGCAGCTGTTAATCATACAGGATGTAGGCGGCTAAACTAAACTAATACTAGTTTTCATATTTCTGTTTATATAAAAGTGCAGATTACTTATTTGTTAAATAAAGCACAAAAAATAATTGATTTGATTGTTGACAAAAGTTACGAAATTAATCAATAGAAGTTTTCCCAATGAACAGATTGTTTACGTACATACAGAAGACTTTTAACTTGAACTAATTATTCCGAAGTACTTTAGAATAAAACGATAAAAGCGTTCATGACTTCTGACATCATTATAATAATGCACTTTCTTATATTTGAAAAGTTGAGTTTTATTATTGCAAATTAGAATAAATTATCCTATTTCTATGAGATTAATTTCATTTAACGACTACTGATTTTCGATGACTGTAATGCTAGAGTTCAAAAATGTCCTGGATGAATGAACAAGGATATAGATCAAATTACTGCAAAAGTATATCTTAATTCATAATGAATATGATATTTTGACAATTATGATTATTATAGAAAATGACATCATGAATTAGATATGATCGAACTTTAAATAAATTATATTCTTCATTCATACGTGTACGACTTGAAAAACATTCATATTTCTCTAGTTCTATATTTAGTCAAATTAACGAGTTGAGTAACTACTCTCCTAATGAAATAATTTTCAATTGACTTTGATCGTTATTCTCTAGATTATATTTCAATTAGTATCTAAAATATAATATTCAATACATGATCTATATTTTATGTTAAAAACGATTATAGAATATATATTACTATAGTCAAGTGACTGAATTTAACTAGAATATAAAAAGGAAAATATATTGAGCTATATAAGAATTGCAATGAAAAAATGTTTCAGTTTATTGTTTTTGACCAATTATTAAATTATGATAATCCCATGTATATTGAATTTTAATATTGAGATTTAAACATAAATATATATAATAGAGAAGTTCTTGATCATAAACATGTTGATGTAAACCACGATTTTTATAATTATTTTTTGATCGTGTTTTAAAATTTTCAAAATTTACTATTCCTTGATCTCTTTTTACATCATGTAAAAGAAGTATTTCATTTAAATGAGAAAGATCAGCTTCACTAGTCTTATTATGATAATCATTAATTAAATGTTCTATACGAACAACATCACGTTTACGATCAAATGTAACATTCTTAAATGGTACAATAATAAGTAATAAACCACCAGATTTCATAATTCTTAACCATTCTAAAAGTGCTTTGAATGGATTAGCAATATGTTCTAAAACATCTGTAGCACATACAAAATCATAATATTCATTCGGTATACCCTGTAAATCTACAGCGTCTCGTATATATTGTTTTCCTTTAGTTTGATTTTTCCATATAAAAGATCCACCATCTTTTAGTCCAGATTCCCAAAAAGTTTGAGAAGCAAAATTTGTAGTATCTACTACTCTTGCAGCAGCATATACACCTAAATTACCCCAAGTTGTAACCGAGGGAGCACCAATTTCAAAGCCAGTTTTATTTTCAACGAATTGACTTAATTTTACTGGAATTCTAAAGTGTACCATTGACATATAAAAAATAGATTTATGAAGTTTATGAGAATCGTAAGATTCCAAACATGTCGATGGTGATGAAGGTAAAATATGAATTGTTGATGGTAATATTGTATTTTTTAATGTTCGATACTTTAATATAATAATAAAAAAGAACAAACATAATAATAATGTAAGTAATGGCTTTGTTCTAATCATGACAAGATGAATAAACTAATCCATAGTATGTTATTTATTTCTATTTCATAAGATTCCTAAAATAGAAAGAATAATGAATTTCTTTGTTATGCTATCAAAGAAAAATCTTTTCTTTTGATTACTTGTGTCTTTCAAAAGAAAATGAATTAGTTTTTATATATCCGTCTATAAATAGGTAACAAATAGTGATTTGTTTCAATAAGAAAAAAAATGGTGTTTGAACAAACAAAAAAAATCAGATTTTTCTTTTGATTTAATTCAATATCTTTTTACATGTATTAGAAGTAATAACTTTATGAAGCAGAATTCAGTGTGATATATATGGTTGTAATCAATTCTGAAAGACTTCGTGTATATACATAGAGAAAGTTCATTGTTGTAAAGAGATTGTTTGCAGTGAAGTATGGTGAGAGGATTCTTGAGAATTTATTAGTACTTCTGCGCATTTTATTTATTCTTGATATATGTAATGTCTTATTACGCAACAATAATAATCAGTAAAGTTTACATATTTTCAAGAGTTTCTTTGTTAAAAATAAAAATCAATAAGTATCACTTAAAGTATTTTTCTTATAATGTATTCTATGTTTGATATCAATCATCATCATGTTTTACAATAGTTTTTTATTTACATATTCATGTAGTAATTCTATCCTAAAGTTCGTAATGATAAACTCACTTACTATTAATTAATAAAAGATATATCTTGTCAAAGACTGACTCTATTCAAATCATCATAATAAAATTTCGATTCTATGTGTTTGGGTATAGTTCATTTATAATAAACATATCACTTAATCATCCTTATTTTATCGATACATTTAGTTTCATTAAGGATTTAAATATTTACCTGTTTGCATTGAGTTTTTTGTCAAGAGAACCATCTACTTCGAGTGGTTTTTTAATATGTGAGTTCTGTTAAAAACAATTTATTTGCAAAATCCTTGAAACAAAGGTGTCGAAAATGTAATTTTTTTGACAAGACTGTCTTCCGGCAGTATGTAACTACTACTCTGACGGTATGCTTGAAAGTGTTGATGTTATAGAACATTATAGTATATTTTCCTTATTTCATTTTAACCTGCTTCTTCTCTTTTCTCTTTCTCTTCTTTTCAACTCCATCATGTCAGTGCGTGGTCGATGGTCACACTATCGGTTATTGCGTATATATATTATTTGATACATATATATACATGGAGTTTCCTCTCTCTGTTGTTCTTCTTTTTCTATTTCTTCTATTATAGTTAGTTAGTGTTCTTGTGTTCTCATTTCAAATATATCGTACTCACACATACATATATAGTCGAACATTAACAGAAAGAAATCGTTTCTTTTCTTCACAAAAAATGTCTTTCTATGCTTGAAGAATAATAATTTCACCACATGCCTAGTTAAAAGATTTTTCTTAAATAAGAATATATTCTATGAAGAGTAAAGTCTATGCTTGAAAGAATCTTTCTTTTAGAAAAAAAATACATTAGTATATTGTTCGAAGGGGTACTTAAAATAATGAAATGTGTTTATTTCATCATATTTGTTTGTAAAAAATGAGTGTACGATTTTCTTGTATATCTTTATTCATTGTGCGATGAAAGAAAATGTGATATTCGGTCTTTTAATATTATTACAAATATTCATAACTAGTATAAATAATACATTGATTTTCTGTCATAGATGTTTCTACCGTGCGGGAATCTGTCTAATTTATTAGAGTATATTAAAACTAATTTTTCTATCTACCTCGAATAAGATTATTTTTGCGAAAATCAATTATAGATGGAATAGATAAGAATGAAGTGCATATTCTAGGTCACCTGTTAAACAGAAATTTTCGTAGAAGCTAACAGATGTCAAACACAATGATATCAATAAATAAATAATCCCCAGCAGAACCTTTCTCAATTAATAACTTGCATTATAATATCATTCTACTTAACTAGATTGTTTATATCATCAAAATCCGCACAGTATCTCGATATTCAGTCTTTAGATTTGGATTAGTGATATCTTCCTAATAAAACGATATAGATTCTTTGTACATGAATGCTAAAGCACATGTGTTCTATATAGAATATGTATTGAGAATTTGATAAAACTCAAAAAAAGAAGACCGATTATATTCTAGGAAAATTATTATTCTACGAAATGATTTTATTAGATATTTAATTTAAACAACTAACATTTATTTATTTTTGTTCAATATCTGGAAATATATTTATTTATTTCAGATGTAAAACTAAATCTAACATGAAATCATTATTCATCCAAATCAAATAATACAAAAGGTATTCAAACTCAAAAGAGTCCAATAACAGAAAAAAATGCTACATGTAAAAAGATTGAGAATTGAATATAAATGTACAAAAAAGAAGAGAATTTTTCGGAATGTTTTGATTAAATTGATTGATTGATATGTAAATAATATTTATACTTCGTATTGCGAAAAACGATTACGTCCTTGAGTTAATTGAAGATGAGAACCATTTGATGGTGAATAAGGAAGTGCATCATGATAATGTTTGTCATCAATATAATCATCATATGGTTCACGTAAAAATTGAATGTCAGCAGCGAATAATGTACCTAAACAAATAACAATCTTTTTAATTCGAATTATTTCTTTCTTAAACTTACAAGCACCCAAAGCAAAAATAAGCGCAGCAGCTTCAATCCAATAACTATATGACAAATAATTAAATTCAGGTCGTGGCATCCAAAGACGATCTTGACTATAAACACCATAGATACACAAAGAAATTAATTCACATGCGACTGAAATAACAAATCTTTTAGTAGTTCATTTGTATAAATAAAAAATTGTTAATACTTACAAATAACAAATGATAGAATAGACCAGATTAATTGATATCGCCATTGCCAACGAAATGCTGAAAAAACTGCCACAGCTAAACTTGAAATCGTTGCTATAGTAAAGATAAATCCTAGCGTTGCAAATGCTTGTACCCATTTAAACCAAGCTATATATAAAAACAAATAAACAATAAATTCTTATTTTCTAATTGAAATTTTTTTACGTGGAATAATCCAATCACGAAAACGATACATTTCATTTGTCCAAAACCAAAAACAACCAGTATATGGAATTTGTAAATCATCTTTATAATGACGATATTTATATAAACATAATTCCCATAAACCAATATTTTGAAAATCTTTTGGTGTATCGAGATAACGTTTTGTCCAATAAGGTGATGCAAATGCTGATATACAACATAATGTACTTAAAAACATAAAAATTGTTCCAACAAAAAAATGTGTTGAATATTCAGCATTTCCAAAACGAAAAATGCCCATCTAGAAAATAATCTTATCTTCTATTTTATTCTAATACCAATAAAAATGAAGAAACTTTTAACAAATAACGGAAAACAAAAAACAAGATTTTCTTTGACATTATTTCTTTCCACCGGTTTTTCGATGAACAGTCGTCCATCCATCTTCATCAACATCCATTGATTGTGTTTTCCCTTGTTGACGTTGTTGTTCATCTTCTTCCTCTTCAATCATATCATCATCATCGTCATCACTATCATCGGATGTTGAACTATCATCATCATTATTTTCATTTCGACTAGATGTTTGAATAGATGAAGCCATAGATTGTTGTAATTGTAATTCTTGTTGAACATCATTTAGTTTTCCTTGTAAAATTAACTGAATATATCGAACAAATAATTGTGCTAATTCATAACTTGACCCGTCATCCAAAACAGTATTGAATTCTTCATCAAGAATTTCATCTAAATATTCTTGAATATCACTTTCATGAAGTGATATTGTTGGCGTATTTCGAATATTTCGTGTAAGATATTCACCAAATGCATTTATAAATGCTTCATATTTCGATTCACTTTCTGAACCACCCATTGAATGACTTACTGCTAATTGTAAAGCTGTCCATCGGGAAAATATCGATCGAATAATTGGATCAATAGTTGATAATAAAGACATGATGATTCAAAAAGAAATAAAATTTCTTTCTTAATCTCCATTTCTAACCGTCGTTGTATTGTCCTCTTCTTTTTTAAACAGCGCTAGGTGTAATTTCATTTTGATTGGATTAAATAAATCATTCCGCAAATGATAAATGAATACAATAGATCAAATCGATAAAAATTTATATTCATAAAAAACAAAATGTTAGATTCAGTTAATAAGAAACTTGACTTGCATAAATATTTTAATCGAAATGCAATTGCCTCAATTCTATCTGGTGCTCTCGTATGAAAAATTACAGAATAATTAGTCATTTTTTATATATTTATCTTTAGTTTGCATTTGCTTGGTGGATAATTATTGATCTAACTTATCAATATCCATTAAAATCAGATTTCAACAAAATTTACTATATAATTGGTATTGTTGCTACATTTGCACTTATTTTGTAAGTTGAATAAAAAAATTTTTTAATAAAATAATTTACTAATAGATTTAAATTAGAGCCAATTCTATATCGAATTCACAAGTTCTTGGTGATACTAATGAAGACAATTGTCTTGGCCAATTTGGTATATTGTTAAATTATATATCAAATAAGATTACATCTTCTATTTTATAGGCGCACGAAGTCTTCTTTTCATTTCATTTTTACTTGCATTCGGTTCATTAATTGCGAGTGCTTGGTTATTATTTGGTTACTATATTTCTCATAAACAAGGAAATCTCTATCCAATAGTTATGATATTTGTTCAAAATCTTATTATCTTCATCAGGTTTGTCATCCTATTCGATGTATTATACTTAGTATGTGTGTTTGTTTTTAGCACATTGATTCTAAAATTTGGTCGTCGTGAAGAAGTTAATTATTAATTGAAATGAAATGTATTTACTTATGTAATTATTTCTTTTTTTTTGTGTAAACTATTGTCTCTCTGTATATCACACACATAATAGATATTGTATATTAATAATATGAAAAGATGATTGGTTTTGTTTAATAAAAGATTATTTTGTTCATATTTATTGTTGACTTTCTTTTTTTAGTATCACAAGGGAAATCAAAACCTGTGTATAATTGTGTATAAAACTAGAGGAGAAGAAGAAAAAAAAGAAAAGATATACTCAAGAGTAAAAACAATTACATAGAAGTATATGACTATTTCTTCCATATATAACAATAACCCATTTACTAACTTGTCATGGTAGAAGATCGATTTTTTCCTCTCTATATCATCTTTTTCCCTTTTTTTCTTTTTTACTACGGATGTGCGGACGCAAAACGACAATGCGGAAAAGTCGAGCCAAAATCGATTATTTGATGCACTCTCTCGTTTTTCTTTACTATCGTCATTCATCCTACTTGCGCTTTTCTTGACTTTCATTCGCGCTTGTCTTTAGTAAAAGAAAAAAAAAAAAAAGCCAAAATGAATCTCTCAAATTGCAGTCTACTACATGTCGACCGCCCCTCAATTAGCGTGTTAACGAGAATAAAGTATAAAGAAACAGAAAAGACTGATTGATAAAGTGTATATGCAATTTAATATAGTCAGGCGAACAAGTAGCCAGCGGCAGCGGACATAGTGTTCTTTAGATGTTCTCTTGCGTTTCCATATCGTTGTATATATAGATATGTTGTTATGATATCGTGACCATCATTGTAGGGACGGGAGATTCACACATAAAGTCGTTGTCATCAACTTGTTTAGTGCTTTCTCTCTCTCTCTTTTTTCTTCGTCTTCTTATTTGTTATATGCACTCACTCACAAAAGAAAACAGACAGACAGCTAGGAAACAGCAAAATCGTACTAGACGACAAAATAATTTTGATCGATTCTCGTCGTTGCCGGCGAACTATTCGTAATGTTGGTGTTTTCTTCGATGCATTACATAGTACAAAAAAAAAAAGAATTGCTTGACAAATCAAGGTTCTTTGTTCTCATTTAAGATAGCGTATGCAGAAATAAAATGCGTGCTTTTTATATATTCCTTGTTTCCGTCAAACTATTATTGATATCATAGAAGAGAAAAGAAATGGCAGTGAGCTGAAACATAGGAAAATAAGTTTTTCTATAGCACGTATCAATAAATGAACGGACATTCTTTTCCCAAGAGATTTCGTTCATAAAGAGAAAGGAATATTTCTTTAGCGATGTCGATCATCTTTGTACTTTTTTTTTTTTGGAATTTCTAAGTGTAGACAATATGATAGTATAAGAATCCTTTTTTGATTGAAGCCAATCAGCACATACATCCAATGCTTTTCCTTTGTCAGCTTCGTCGTCTTAGGCCTCTCTTAACTTGTTGAGTTCGATTTTTCATCGAGTGCCATCCTTCCGCTCCTCTTTTTCCTTCTCTATTTAGGTGTTCCAATAAGAAGAAATTTCGGCCTTAATTGGACTTTGTGTACGTGTTTACTCCTTTTTCTTTTTCTCTTTGAACTACTCGTCATAGTCTAACTAAATCTTTTCTAGTGCATTCATCTCCTTAAGAATAATCATAAATTTGCATGATTGAGTTTTTTTTTTCCTTTACGATATTATCATCGTCACAAAATAGATCTATAGCTTTTTTTTCCTAATACTATTGCGTTTTTTGCGATTAGTCTTGAACGGAAATACATATCAATCTTTTTTTTCTCCCTCACGCTCTTTAAATATACACACACACACACACACATATATATATATATATATGTATACAATATAAATATATCAATAAATGTATTCTAATGTGTAAAGATATTTCAATAATGAAAACAGTTCCTTTTCTTTCTATTCTCTAGTTCTTTTTTACAGAACCGACACATTCATTTCACATTCCATTCTACATTCTATTAACATTGCTCTCGTCGCTTTTCCGGGTAGAACACAGAAGAAAGAATAAATTCTCTCTATCCTTCGTGTCTTTCTCTTTCTCTGTCTCTCTCTCCCTCTCTCTCGTTCTGATAGCTTTTTTTCACTATGTTTTAGCAACAATCGCGTATGCACAGCTCAACAAGATCCTTTTTTCATCTATTCTAACATCATTTTCATCAACTATTTTTACTAATAACAATGTATAATCAATAAAACATCTCTAAATATTCGCGTACGTATTTTCTAATTACTTTTAATGTTAGAAAATAGACGAGTTTAAATTGACGTAAGTTATTTATCATAACTTTCTATTCGATACACGTGAAAAAAATAAATTATCATCTGTCATTTTGTGTATATATATATATCATGATGACAAATTATAGTCAGAAAATGTTCATGTATAGAATAAATATAAACACACATCGTTTTTTATGATATTTACATCTGCATTTATATAAAAAAAAGAAAAAAGAAACTACAATACAAATGACATCGATCTTCTTCAAATTTGAATTTATAATATAAAATGACAGAAACTGATTGAGAGTGATCTTCCTATCATCATCAGTCAATTATATCCCGCTATTCACGCGTGCATTGTCAAATTAAATCGCTTAGTCTACTATATGAAAACAAATTTTTTTGCGCGCATGTAAGCAATTCAATCTATGTGTGCTTTATTTATTTGTTTATTTGACTAATGCGAGGAGACTTCGAAGGAGAAAAAAACATATATTCTCGTTTTTTTTCTAATAGTATTTTACTTTTTTTTTGTTCTATTAGATAAAAAGAAAATGATAATCATTACGACTAAAAATCCTAAAGTATTCAGAAGATTCCGCTTTCTCATCATTTGATGAATATACTGCCTAGAGTAACCCATAGTCTATAATCAAAACAATTCGTCGACTCATTATGTCGATTGCTTTCAAGATGCACCAATGTGTTAGGATAGAACATAGCATAGCATAGAGAGAGAGAGGGAGGAGGGGGAAGATAGAGCTTTTGTATAGAACTGATGATAGCAAGAAACAACGATCCGTTTGTATGTTATGAAAATAAACGAGAAAAATGAAGAGATCTGTAAATGATTTGGCGTACAAGGGCGCATAATCAGAATGGACATGCAGCAGACTAAGCATGTATATCTTGTTATCATATTGCTAAAATACGACTGATAATTGCATAAGCTGATAAATAAAACATATTTTCCTTCTATTAGTAAAAACAACTCTATGTTGATTATAATCATGTTATGTTTTTCCTTGAACCCCTTTGATGTTTAGTATATAAGTACTTCAAAAGTACCAATATAATCATTTTTATGTCTACATACGTATATATACATATGTAGATTCTCAAGAGAATTGATGGTTTTTTTTTTCAATAGAAAAAAATTACTTCTGTAATAATAATTAACATTCTACTTCTTTTTTTCTTTTTCTTCTTCTAGATCTGAACTGTATCACAATGATTTTATCATTGTAAGCAATGATAATAATTAGAGTAGAAAACAACTAAGCACATAGGAGGCATACATCCGATGTAGGATGATGGTATGGCTTCGGCCTGAGTACATCCTGGCCTTTGTTACCAGTTTGTACTATTGCTCTCAATTAGGTATGTGTTATTTGTTTATTGAATTGAATATTTATCACTTTTTATGATATATATGCCATCATGACATATCTATGCTTCATCTATCAATGAAACAATAGATCGATTTTATCGATAAGATATCTAAAATAATGTTAACAAATAGATGCATTGACATAGATTATATTTAAAAGAGAAGTATGATTTTTCATTAGTTGAAAATTAAGTCATTTTATTTGAGTAAGAAAAACTAATAATATACATTTTTAGAGTAAAACCCTAGATAAAATATTGTTTTTTTCGAGCTGGATCTTAATTGTATTGTTAATTATATTAATGAATTGTTTCTCCATTTAAATCTGATAGATTTATTCTGAAAATATTTTTTTTGTCGCATATTTTTATCGGTAACTAGTACACTCCATATATTTCATAAACAATTTCAACAATGATATTACAATAATTAAGTTACAATCGACTTCTACTTGAAACTATGAATTCGTCGGATCCAAAATTGTTTTGTCCTATCCGATAGGCTATAGTCTATACTGAATTACTATAATAAAATTTTTTTTTTCTTCTCGAATACATCAAAAATTCTATTAATATATTTAGACAAGCTTCTTATTATTCTTTTTTTTTAATTTTTTAATTAGTTGCATCAAAAACATATGATAGATTTTGGTGTGCAACAGAAGAAGGTCATCATCAAATATCTTGTTCTGACGAACGTGCTTTATTAACTGATATATCAATACGTAAAGTATATCGACGTACAGGAATGTGTGAACCCGATGATCATTCAGAATATCTTGTAAATTGTCAAGCATTTATTGATGGTTCGTCATGTGAAGGAAATAAAACATGTTCGATTGAAATATCTAGTCGAGATTATGTACAATGTGGTGATAAATCCTATGCACCAACATATTTTTTTGTTCAATATACTTGTATACAAAGTAAATATTAATCTTTTTTTTTCAATTGAAATAAATAATAAGAATATATTTTTAGTTCATACAATGTGTACAGATACAATGCCTATTCGAAATACATTATATGGATATATTCTCTCACCAGCATATCCACATCCAATGGGTGATAATTTAACATGCTCAATGACTATCGGTTTGAATTTTTTTTCTTTTTTTTTTGTAAATTTTTTTTTTTCGTATTTTTAGAAGCTGAATCTTCTATGTATATTGAATTATCTCCAATTCAAATACGTTTACAAGAAACAATTAAATGTCGTAGTGAATTTATTGAAATTCTTGGCTACGATTCATCATTGGATGATAGTAAAAATCTTAATTGGAAAGGATATCATACATGGTGTGGTGCTGATCGTTCATTAAATAATCCATTACCTAATGCACGTTATCTTATTTCTTCAAATTCCTTATATATATCTTTACGAACAAGTATATCAAAAAAACCAAGATTTTTTAAAATTCGATATAAAAGTAGAAAGATTTTGAAACAAAAAATAGATTATTTAAAATTTCCATTTATTTTTAATTAGTTGTCCCAGCTACAACACGTTCTCAATATAATTCCGATGGACTTGCTATTGATTCAATAGGCAAAGGATCTATACCGTCAGTTATATCCGTACAATCATCAACAACTATTATACCAACAACAATCATAATACCATCGTTAAATGAAAGTGATATAAGATATGGTAATGGAACAATAACAACAACAAAGCGATTTTTTAGAAAAGGTTAAAAAAACAATTCTTTATTAAAAGTTATTTTGCAAGAAAATTTTTTTTTTATTCTCTTAGAAGTTATTATTGGAATTATTGCTGGTGTAATTGCTTTACTTTGTATAGTAGCTGCTGGAATTATCATTTTTATTTTTATTAAAAGGTAATAATTATTAATATAATCAGAATTTCATTCAATTCAAAATAAACTACTGTTATCAATCTTTAAAAGAATCTATTAAATAGAAGGAAGGAAAGAAAACCTAATTTAAGATTCGTTCTTTTCTCTTTGTCTCTCGTTAGTTGTTGTCTTCATTCGAATGACGTTAGATAGAAATTGAATTTGTCTCTTTTCATTGCGGACTTTCAGATCGTATCTTTATCTTTTGTTAGAGTACAATCAAAGTGACATGTTGAGAGAAAGAAAAAGAGTGCTACAACTCATTAGGGAACTACTTTAAGTAATTCAAAGTTTAGTACAGTTGTTTTTCCCATAAGTAGATCACAATAGAAGTCTAAACAAAAGTCAAAAACAATAAATTCTCATAAGTCTGTCTTACTTGATTTATTACTTATGACAATAAACACATCGAAGAACAAAAATTCCGATGCAATCTAAATGGCTTAGTTATTGTATATACTTTTTTAGAGTATTTCAGGAAGAAAGGCTTATAAGTAATTCATATTGTCTGAGCTGTATTTATGAATAGAAAAAAAAACACTTGAATGATAGTCTCGTTTTTATTTTTGGTATTGAACTTGATATATTGCAAAATCAATCTAATGTTTTTCTGTAATTTTAGACGACGATCTTCAGCTGGTTCTAGCACTGGAAAGAAAAGTGCGTCTGCAGCGACTAGTAGTACTGCGTCGAAACCACCTGGTAAATCATCTGATAAAGCTCCACTTCTTGAACAAAAAAATAATCCACCCGCAGCAGCAGCAAAACAAAAATTAGTTCCTGAACGAACTGTACCAGCAGGTGATACTAGCCGATTTAAAGCTAATGATCCAACAGGTGCAAAGGCTGAAGCAAAAGCTGCATTAACCGCAGCTGATAGTGGTATTTATGGTGCTGATACATCTGAAGAACCTAAAGCTCCGTTAAAACCAGCATCACTAGCAGTATCAAATCCAGCCAAACCTGCTACTACTACTACTGATGTACCTGTAGTATCAGAAACGAAATCAACAACTGAAATTAATCCTGTATCAGAACCGGTAGCAATTGTTGATATTAATCCAATACCTGAACCCATAGCAACAATTGTTGATGTTAATCCAATACCAGAACCTGTAGGAACAGTTGTTGTCAATCCATTAAGTGAAAATACAACAATATCTGCTATTGTTATCCCTAATAATGTTGAAATAAATCCATTATTACCAAATGACATCGAAGAAAAACGATATTCTTTAGATAATACGATTCATAGTGCTTATTCAAATTTAATTGATGCAACAACAAGTGAAAATGAAGGAACAACATGTGGTAGTGGGTTACAATCACGACGTACGTCACATTTAAAACAACCGTTAGTTAATCAAGAATCGAATAATATTGAAACAGTTGTTATATCTGAATATGCCGATACATCATCACATAATACAGTACCATTCAACCCATTACATGTGATATTAAAAAAAGATGCCCATAAATATTATACTACAGAATATATTTAAATTTTCTTATTTCGGAAAAAAAAGAAACATATAGAACTTTTTTCTTGTTTGTTTTTTTGTAAAAGAAAATAAATAGATGTCATTTGTAGGATCGTTTTTTTCTCTTTATTTAATAAAATTCATACAAATATAATTCTTAATGGTTTTTAAATACTTCCTCAAATATTTGATGATTGTCAGTCGATACAAACCAAATTTGATCAAACGCATATCGTATAGATTGATATGAATTCATTAAAGGATTATTCAGTACTTCAAAAAATAATTCAGCTATCATTTTTTTATCATTCTTAAATGCACCAGTTCCAATAGGTCCTAATAATAAATATGTATCACCACCATCGCCTTCTGTATTAGCAACAGCAGAAGCAATTATTGCTTGAAATTTTTGAAGAGTACGAGAACGTATCTGCTGCATATCATTAGATAATGGTGGTATATAAAGTCCTTCTCCCATACCAGATAAATCATAGCCTATACAAAAGAAAAAAATCTACATCAGTTTTCGAAAAGTATTAGAAATCGTGTAAATGATAAGTAGAAAATAATACATAAATAAATAGTTTGTTTTTATTCGAAACAAAATTAGATATATGTCAGTCAATAAAGTTCCTTGTGACATTCATGAATATTGAATTACTAGAACATGTTTATTATATAAATAAACAACTTTATTAAGTTACTGCTTTATTATGATGTTTTCTTTTCTTTTCTAGGAAATTTACAACATTTTTAGCTACCATCATACTTTATCTTATTGAACGTATGTAAATCAACTTACAAGCAGCTACTATTAAATCTGTAAGACGTTCATTATTTGATTGCTTTTGAAAAAATCGTACTCGTTTTATATAAGCAACGCCGTATTCAGGTAACATATAACCACCATCCATCATTTTATATTTTAGGTCTAATAATGCTTGATAACCATCCGAATTATAAAGAATAACCTGTATTAACAATAAAGAAAATTTGATAATAAAATGATTATTCTAACTTCTTCTTGTGTCATAGCATTTTCTAGAAAATAACCACCAGGCATACGTTCATCGGCAAAATCTAATACTATCACTTGTTTATTCTTAGGAACTTTAAATACAGCATGTTGAATTCCTGATATAATAAATTGTATTTTGCCTGAATGCTTTCGTTTATGAACAGGTGATTTTGATAGAGCATTTCTTGCATCAGTATCTGTTATTGGATTATACTCAAAATATGATTGAAGTAAATAAATTTGATTATAATTCCAATAAATTTTGAGTTCATCTGGTTGAAAACCCTTTGAACGATGCCGATTTATACATTTGCGAGAATGAATTGGTCCAGAAAAATGATTAGCTATTTTTAGTTCCCAATAACTTCCTAATTTTTCTGCATGATATTTTGCTTGATACAATTCTACGACATTTTTTAAATGATGATAATGATTCTCAACAATTGACCAATTTAATTTTGGATAACATTCATCAATAAAATGCAGTACACGTGTATTATTTGATTTAGATTTAATTGCTAATAAAAAATAAAGCATTGTTCGACGACTATGATGAGTATCAACACGAATTTTGAAATTACTATCATTTTTCAATGGTAATGCAATACTTAATATGGAACATATATCAGATTTATGTAAATAATTTATTGGTACATATGCAGAAGTATATGTGACTTCATCTTGAGTAAACTCGACGTAAAGTGATAGAGAAAAAAGTAGTATTAAAGCAATCAATAGACTCATGATGTGTGGAAGATTAATATTTAACTAACGTGACATAGTTATGCATGAAAATTTCGATTATTCTCATTTTTGAAGAAATTAAATAATAAAGCGCGAACAATGAAAGTTTTACATAAAAGAAAAAGGATCAACATTAGATTTTGTTGTTGATTATGAATTTTATTCTATATAAATAAGAGGGAAAGACTTAAACGATCTTTCAATAGTATTGACTACATCGATATTGCATGTTCATTCTTTCAAGATCAATAACACGATTCTTTGGTCTGTTATAGTAATTGTTTCATATTTTATCCACATCAAATATCATGTCTTTTGAGCATAAAATAGTATAAATAAATGTCTTCAATTTGCCATATCACTTTATACAAAAAAATCTATTTAAGTTTTACAATAGAAACGTGTGCATTTTGCGCTTGATTAATAAAAATATATAGAGAAATAATACACTACACATCGATTACTAAAGATAATAAAATTTTAGTATTTTTCATATAATTGGAAAATCAATCTGATACATTTATACAATGCATTATCAATTGATGAATTCTTGGCAGTATTGCTCCTCTCGCATGAAAAATATAAGTTCAGAAAATATCAAAAGAATAATGATGTTGTCGTTGACGATCGATGGAAAGTTCAACTATTGACAAATAAGAGACACTTAGAAAAAATGATGATATGGTAACTTTTTCAACACACATTTAAAAGAAAACAGTCACTGATCATAAAAGCGAAGGTACAAGCAGAAATTAGTTCATATGCAGTGAAATGTACAAAGACAATTATAAAAACAACATGAATATATAAACCAGTGATTATATTTATTGAAATACGAACGATCTATTAATTAATACAAACACGTAGTTTTCTAAATCTATACTGTATTATAGCATGTTTATTAATAAGTATATGTATACAGAATCGTCTGGATACTATTTCTGCTATACGTCAGCTTTAGTAATTAATATTCGTACGGAATATGAATTTCTCTTAATACTAGGTTGACAGTTCAATGCTAAGTCTTTTGTTTAACGTTGAAAATGAAGAAAATAGAACCAATATAAAATATTAAATAAAATAAAACTAGCTGGAAATCCAATACGAGCAATAGTATCGAGTTCACTACGACTATTTATACCAAAACGTGATGTACGTTTACGTAAGGAACTTCTATACTTTGTATCTCCTGTTATACAAAACCAAAATCGCCATAAATAACGAGTACTATTTCCGGTTCGTGGTTCTCGATTTTTTGAATTAATATTTGTGAAATCAGTATGAAATATTGATGGGCGAAGATTATAATCGTTTCCTTTTGTATCATTTTCATCTAATAAATCTTCATCGAAAGAATTTTGATAGCATGTCAATGGTTCACCAAATCCAAACTATAAAAAATAGAGAATATTTAAATTCTAAAAAAATATATTCGAAAGAAAAACCTTTGTAAAATAATGAACAAAAGCAAATTGAAGTAAAGAAGCAAGTAAAAATACATAAGCCATAATAATAAACCAATCAATTGCTGTAAGATACGATACAGCAGCAGTATAATTTCGTATATCAAAATTTAATGTAGTTAAACTAAGAAAAGTCATAACACCAATATTCACTCGATCAGCTGTTGCTTCACGATGAATAAAAAATGAAACCCATGAAAGCATAACTAACATTGAACTTGGAACATAGACTTGAAGAATATAATAACCCATATGTCGTTTAAGAACAAAATCAGCACGAAGAACAGAAAAATTTCCTAGTGTAAAATAAAATAATTCAATATTTTATGGAGATAAAATTCTTAAAAACAATAAGTGGCAAGTCTTTTATTCAGATTTACTGATGAGTTTGCTAATCTTCATTGCGATTTAACAAAATCTGTTTTCAAAAAAAGGAAAAGTGTGATCAATACGATCTTATTCTAATGATTTTAATTTATCTTTCAGACAATTACATGAAGAATTTATCTGCTTTATTTTCGAGTTTAAAAATCAAATTTTCAATTTATACTGGAATATTTAATTGCTTCACGTCGTATTATCATAGCTATTAATATGAAGTAGATAACAAAAATTGTGAGCCTTATGTGTGTGCGTAAGTTAATTTGATAATTTATGTTAATTTTAAAAGATTTTTCTCACATTATATCCTTTGAGATTTTTAATATATAGACATATATCGTCATTTCAACTGAATAATCATAATCGAATGATATAGTTAATTATGCCATACAAGCGAATTAGATTTTTCGGATTGTATACGGAACATTGACTCTATTGTATTATAAAAATGCACATCTAAATACAAATCTTCTTTTTCTTTTTTTATTACGTACGTCCATTCGTATTAGTAATTTCATCGTATTGTGGATATTGAATAAGATCAAATTGTGATAATAAAACTTTTGTATCAAAATTAACACTTTTATTATTTCCTAAACGCCAGTTATATTGAATATCTAATGCTGAATTAGCAACTAAAATAAAAAAAAACTTTCATATGTAATTTTTTTTGCTTTATTTTTCTTACAACTGCCAATAAGTAAATGACAAATTTGTGTATCAACAGGAAAATTCTTTAAATTCATATTACATTTTGCTTTAACTGTTATTCTATAAATAAATACATTTTAGGAAAGAAACGATAATTAAAAATGTATTATTCTACCGTGATGAATACCATATTGAACCATTGGGAAAAAGTCGCCATAAACGATTACTTGTTGGTATTCTATGTAAATAAGAATACTGTGAATTATAAAATATTGTATCTGGTCTCCAAAGACGTTCAAGCATTTTTGTTGATAATGAAAGTACACCAACTTCTTCAGCAAATTGTAAACGTTCATCACGCCATCCTTGTCGAAAATAACAGTTTATTGTATAGGACTATATAGAAAATCATAATAATAGAGCAAAAGATATTTTAATTTCTTTTTTTCCTGTTAAATACAAACCATATCCATATCTTGAATAGGACCAAATGAATTTATTAATATATCAAGATGAACCTTTGTTGGACCATCTATTTGTTTAATAAAGATACATGGATATATATTTAACTATTTATATTACCGCCAAAATTTGGTCGAGTATGTGCTTGATAATCTTTTAAAAGTCCATCAAGAATTGTACTTATCTGATTTGTACGTCTTGATACTATTGTTGTATGATCATACTTTGATGTTTTATTTGTAAATAATTGGACATTATTTATCATACATATGAAAAGAATACATTTTATCATCATGATTATATGTATATTTTGATGTTTCTCGAAATTTTAGATATTAGATGTGTATATTTAATATTGTTGTCTGTTTGTTACTGAAGCTTGAAGCAATTTTAAGAGAGAGAAAATAAGTAACAATTGTATTCGAAAAATATAATTATGTACATTGATAAATCTTGTTCGTCTATTAGAGAATATGTTTCCGTATTGTTCTCTTTTTTTTTTGTTTGTAAAAAGCTTGGAAAGAGACAGAATAGAATGTATATATATAGAAAGAGAGAGAGGAATATCTATTAAAATAACAAACTTAACTGACGTTCTTAACAGCTGGTTTGCTTTTGATTCGAACAATTAAACATAAAACAATAATATTCGTCTAATCAAGATTATTCGTAAAAAATATTCTATCATTTGTATTTATCAAATTCATATTAGACAAGGACAAGTTTCAATTTAGTTTCTCGTAAGTAAATCAGAAGATATGATTTTCTAAAGGTGAAAACTATATTAACGGCAAAGTTTTTATTTCTGATTTGCTAATAATTATTCAACTGTTATAGATATGTTTAAAGCTATACCGGAACAAAAACGATTTGGCACAGCATGTGTTTCAAAAAACAAAGAAAAATTTGTTTTCTTCAGAAATTTGCCAAAGTAATAATTATTTATACAATTAGTAAAACATATTCTGTTACTTCGATCTATTCAATTTTGTATTAGCAATTGTATATACATTAAGCATGAGTATCAATGTAATATAGTTTTCATTCAAAGTTTAGCAAGGACGAAGAATATATAGATTATTGTTATACTTTTATAGGAAATCGAATCATGATGAATATTATATACTTGCTCTATACTAGAACGGTAAAGGTGTATATTTTTCATAACATTAATATGAAACAGATTTTAACCACATTCTAAAAGACTGTTTTTCTATATCTAAATAATAATCACCATATATTGTTACACTAATGAATAATGCATAGAAAAATTTTAGAATCAAAATCATATTTCATATTTGTTAGCAATATAATTCATTTGCATGTTCTTATTGACAACTAATACAGTCAAAATAAAATGTATTCCGCTAAGATATTTTATCATTTCTTTTTTTTACTAACAAGTATGATTAACTTTGAGTTCAGTTTAACCTTATAAATATAAAGAAAATAATTCATGTGTCACCTTCTATAACTATAATTTTATTTTTTTTGTTCTTAAACATAAAATAAATATTCATAAAACAAACCGGGTAACACAATCGAAAACACACACCGATATTTCCTTAACAAATAACAGTATAATATCTTAATTCATCGATGACATATGCTATTAATAATAGCATTTAGTCAATTTTCTTTATATTTTCTTCTTTTGCTTTTTTACTTTTTGATGATTTAAATATATATGAACCAAGAAAAAAATGAGCAAATAATATAAAATATGTTCCATACATTACAAGTGAAACTTTTAAATTTTCATCGGTTACTTGACATGTTTCACCATTTTGTTTATATTGCCATGCTTTCAAATTAATCCAACAACCAATAACCATTTGACTTAATTGAAGTAATGTTACTATCATTGATATCCATCGTGGAAAACGAAATTTAAGAGCACGAAATGCATAATACTAAGAAAAAGAAATAGAATTTTCTAAAAAATTAAGTTGCTTTTTTTAAAATCTCTTACAGTATACATAACACCATGAACAACATAATTCAATCCACAAAACCATCTAAAACAAAGATATTTGATTTTATTTTTGTTTTCATAAATAATTTATTTGCTGTTATATTCTACCTTCCTGTTGAACTATAATCTTGATAACTAAACCAACAATAAACTAATACAGATGCATGATGATACCAATGAAGAAAGATTAAAGGTTGTTTACGAAGAACTATAAATACGGTATCGATTAGTTCTGGTAATTTAGAAAAACAAAATGCCCATGTCCTTAAAAAAATAATTAATAAGAAAAAAAAACATTTCCCTTTTTTTTATGTTATAATATTTTTCATACCAAAATCCAACAACACCAAATGCATTTGAATTGCTACAAATCGAATCTTTAATTCCATGTCGATAAATAACATAAATCAATTCTGGTAAAACTCGAAGTGCACCAAAAATAGAAAACATAGCAAGTAATCCACTCCATGCAGCTAACCATAAACGTAATTCGAATCGTGGTTTATTTTTCATATACATTTGACCAGCTAGAGAGATTAAAAAAATATGTTCGAAATAGAATATTGCATTTTTCCTCTTCATTTACCATAAATTAATAATAAGTATGCAATAGCATAAAAGAAACTATTATGCCAACGTTGAATCATAAATGTACGTAAATCATTCAATGTTCCTATTTTATCACTATAACGTTCAAAATCAAATACATAATATAAACTAAGATTTTTATCTGATGATAAATCATGTGCTGTTGATTTAAAATCATTTGTTAATGAACTATTAAATTGTTCGAAATAATCCGAAATATGCGATGCTAAAGTAACCATGTTTGATCTTATCGTTACTCAAATTATCTATAAAAATAAAAAGTAAAACTTTCGACTTATATACACTGGTTAAACCATGATGCATCCATAATCGAACCATATGATAAAACATGAATCAGACATTAACATTCCATTTTTTATCTCATTTTATCAAACATCTATTTAAAGATTTATATCGACTAATTCTCTTTAGAATATTTGATGATTATAGATTAACCTATACTTACATATCGGAAGAAATGAAAAAGAAAGAAGATGCATGACTTACATCATATATTTATTATCTAATATAGGACTTTAATCTTTTCCTTGCCTAGAGAAGAAAAGAAAAGAAAATTCATAATATTTAGAGATGCACTTGAAACGTGTGAATAATGACTAAGAAAAACAAATTGTATAAATGCATAAGCCAATAATAATTCTAACTATAAATTTTCATTTTTATTTTTTCTCGTTTTTTTTTACTGTTTATATACATTGAACTTCACAAGAGAATACAATAAAAAAGAAAAGTAACATAGTTTATGTCTATTTACTGTATTTCACTGTAATAGATACAATAGACAAACAAAAAATGAAATAGTATAAGAAGAATTACATAGCATATTTTTGGGTCCATTGTCGAGCAGTCTAAAACAAAAAAATATCAATGACAAATATTCCATTTTCAATTATTTATTTACTGTATTATATCCATCTCGATCTTGTTTATATTGTCTAGCGATATCTGGTACAAGTGGGTCCTATAAATAAAAAGAAAACTTAATTATTTGAAATATATTTGAATTTAAAAATTCTATATACATCAGGATTTGCATCACATAATAATGAACAAATAGATAATAAAACTTTTGAAATTGTCAATGCTGGTGACCAATTACTACGAAGAATATCAAGACAAATTGCACCATTTGAATTTATATTTGGATGATAAATTTTTGTTGTAAAACTAATTAATCGAAAGAAAATTTTGGACTTTTTTAAAATAACATATTTTGTATTTACGTTATTTTTGGTGGTTTAAATGGATAATCAGTTGGAAAATTAATTGAAAGAAAAAATACACCAGATTGAAACGGTGAATCACCTTAATTATAAAAGAAAAAGAATTTTTGATATAAATATTTAGAGAATCATGCATACTAGGACCAAGAATGGTCGCTTGCCAATTAAACATATCAGTTGGTTGTACCTTGATAAATTGAGAGAAAAAATAGATTCATTTTTAATCTAAATAGTAAATCTTACTGGTCCAGCGCTGACATTAGCTGGTGGTTCACGTTGTAAATCTTGTAATTCTTTCGATATACGTTTAAGTGCCATGTGAAAATTATCTAGAATTTTTATTTACCTAAGTTGTTAGGGTGCTTTATCAGTTAAAAGCATGATGAAAATGATTAACATTCGACTAAGATTTTTTTTTTGTTACATAAGGGAATTACACATAAAAACATTTCGTAATTAATTTCAAACTATTATAAGTAAAATGATAACCAAGTGTCTTAGTTTATTAATTGTTTATATATGTTTTCTTATTTTTCTGTCAATCTGTCTGTTAGGAAGGTCAAAAAGTTCCTTTGAGAAAAAGGAAAGAAAAAAATTTCTAGGATAATAAAAACGTTTATCAACTATAATTAAAACTAAAGTATTTCTCTAAAACAATTCTAGTAAAAAAAAAACTAAAAGTCATATTGTAGAATATTCTTAACAACAATATATTAATCTAAAATTAGAATATTTTAATTTATTTCATATTCCCATTGGTAATAACTCTAGAATTTCTATTAGAAAATAAAATATCATCATATTAATCATATTAGATAAATACAAAATTGAATAACCTTAATAAATTGTAATAAATTAGTATAAAACTAATATCTAGAAGGATATAATCTATATCGAATTTATTCATTATTGATTTTATAATAATCTATAGTGAATACAACAGAATAATAATAATATAAAATCTCAACTATTTTAATTTCATCATTAATGAATCATCTGGTTTTTTCTTCTCGAAATAGTAGTTGTGAAATATGACATCAGAATACATTAATATTACGTATTTACAATATGTAGAATTGCAATAAATGACTCAATCTAAAAGCATACGAAAAAATATAATATGGAATATTCAACGAATACAAACTGAATTCAGACATTTTTAAATAGCTAGACGTCGTGGATTAAATAATGAATGCAATGATTTCGTCTTTCTTAAGACAACAATTGAAACATAGGGCGATTTGTTTTGTTATTTCTTTCTTTCTTTTCTTTTCTTTCCAGTTTGTTGGTAAATACACGAGTGACATGAATTTCGTTGAATTTGTTTAGTCAAAAAAGAAAAGGAAAAAGAGATAGACAAAGACAATAAACATACAGATGCAATGAACAAA